GATAACCTTTCCATCAATCCACCAAACCAAAACCCTTTTTCTATAATGCATTAGATGCCTTTGACCTATAATTTAAAAATCATCAAAAGAAATGTAACTTTAATTTTTGTTATGCATATTTAGGGAATATAAATATACCCAAGAAAAGAAAAAGATAGAAAAGAAAAGTTTAGGGAATAGTATGAGACAGCAAACCTCTTTTAAACCCTTTTAAAACTATATATATAATTAAAAAGAGACTATAAAAAGATTTTTTAAAAGCCAAAGCCGAGAAAGAATAAGTGTTTCCTCAAGCCGAATAATCTGGAAACAGTATTATTTGTACGGAGTGGGGTCCACCACCAGCGTATAGCACTAACTGACATTGTTCGCCTGTGCGCAATGCGCTTCGGTGTTCACTAAAACAACCAACTTCTTCCCACGCCACACTCCCCCTCCTCCCTCTGGGCCCCACATACCTTCCCTTCCTCGCCTGCTAGCCAACAATAGAGCCTACCCGCCGTGGACCCCACCACCAAACCTACAATTCTATGATGGTAAGATCGCCTTGTGGGCCCACCACACCTGGCATCATCCACGTCATTTCATTCCCAACTTGGTCATACCAAAATGACAATAATACCCTTTTATCGAACCTAATATTAGATTAACTTGAAAAATAATATTATCACAACTAGGTTGAATTCCTTGGCACACCATTAAGGTAAATTGCATTGATATTTCAAAATTTGGATAAAATACAGATAGATAGATAGATTATTTTGAGTTTTAACATAAATGCTCAATCATTCTCTATGAGCATCTTCACTGGTATGTTAATATACTCGCATGATTTATAATTTTTTTTAATTTATTTTTAACAATTTAGTAAAATACACTGTCATGCCACCAATGTATAAAATTATTATGTATTTTTTTTTTCTTCATTTTTCTCATTCCATTAACGAATCAACACTATATTAACTAGGTTTATAAAAATTAATTAGGGTCCAAGCAAGACACTGATTGGTTGTTATTGAAGGATATATATTTTTACATAAAAGGTATAAAACAATCTAAAAATAAATAATCCAAATTTTTTGTGTAAATATATTATGATACAACATATTTATACAAAAAAAAAAAAAAAATACGGAATATATATACACACACAACGATTAGACATGCTCGTTTCTTTTTCGACAAATTTGTTGATTAAATTTATAAAATGATAATAAAGTGAATTATATCCTCGTTCTTTGTATTAATTTGTAAACTAAAGAGATCATTTATAATAAGTGTGATGATGTTACCCGAATAATAAAGGGTTAGATTTTAAGTATTCCACCATATAATTTTCTCAATCTTCATTAATTACTGGTCAATATATATATATATCATTCATAATGGCTTTTTTATTAATTATTTATCATCATTATCTTTTTAATTAATTATGAAGAAGAGTAATTATTATTATTTTTTCAAATGACATGTGACTACGGTCACGAGTGTAGTAAAAGCCATAAAAGGTTTATTGACCATTGAATTCATGACTAATAAAGCACGGAAGCTATTTTGCTTTCACCACATGCATAGAATAGAATCGTCAAAGTTCAGCAGAAGAAAATTAGGCGGCTTTCGCTAAAAAGAATAAAAATAAAAATAAAAAATAAACATTGAAACTTTGAACGCGGTTAATATGCTCAAAAATAACATATTTTCTTAATTGCGGCTTTTTTTATTTTCCAATAATTTGGTATTGAATTATTGATCATTAGTGACCTGTTGAAATAAATAATAAATAAAATAGCTTGATTCTTCTAGTGCTACATGGTAGCACATGCTATTGTAATATATAATAGATGCATTAATACGTATTTTAATTATTTGGAATTTGTTAATATGCATTTTTATTACTGTTGTTTTATATTAATTTGAGTCTGGTAAACTAAATTACAAAACAATCTATTTTAGAGCAGAGGAAATAATATTAGATTACAAATTTTATGAATCTCAATTTGCTTTGTATTTCATGAAAGTCTTTAGATTTTGTTATTCCTATTTATTTCTTTTTATTTAATTGATGATAGTTGTGTCCAACCTCTTAAATTATTTCTATAATCCACCATTGAAAATATGCAATTCTCATGCAAAAACCCAAAAAAAAAACAAAAAATTCGACCTCAAATAAAGAGAATTCACATTTTATTTATTTATTTATTATTTATTTTTTACCTATTCCCATCAATAACTGCACCAATAAATCAGACCAACCTTTTGCCGACACTCCGAACAGGAATTTATATATATATATATATACACCCGAGGTTAAGCAAAAAAAAAAAATCACATTAATCCCTAATTTTTTTTTTTTTTTTTTTTTTTTTTACCATACATCCCTCAGTGCAGGCGGATTTGCCTAAATCCGTACATGCCCTGTTTAATAATGGTAAAATTTATACTCACGATGAGTTTAAAGTTCACAATCTATACCAGTCGCGTTAGGAAATGAGTGCACGTCCGTCCTACCCTGTTAACTTTTTTTTTTTTTTTGGTTATCTTTTAATATAAATTGATAAAATTTATAAATTCTATATAATGTAAATACATAGTAAATAGTATGTAGTAATGATATATATATAGTAATGATACATATATAATAAGGTGCATACATTTATCACACATATATTTATTTATATATTTGTATGAAAAAAGCTTGCCTTAGGTCGCAGAAGTAGGGTTCTCCTTCTGATGTTGATATAGACCATTAACAACATGACATGTGTAAAAAAAAAAAACTAAACCTGAATCATGAAAGATGATTTTCTTTCATGTGTGTGTGTGACCTGGTAATGGGCTCTCCCTCTCTTTAACTCACGATTCCTTCTCTCTTCCCACTAAATCCCTATTGATGCCCACCATCTCCCCAATTCTGAAACTCTAGTATTAATCCTCTCTTCCGCCAACTGCTCTCCACCACCTCCACTACTCGCCACCTCCTCCATTCCCAAACCATAATCTTTTACATCCAATCTTTAGAAATGATTCAAGCCGCCACATTCGTTGTCTACCATCTCTATTGCAACCCCCTCTTTAGAATGACTCGAGACCGACCAATTAATAAATACGCATAATTTTAATGGTATCCAAAATTTTGAAATTTATTACCACCTGTTGTAATCTGAAGCCAAATTGATTTCCTTAAATTTCATTAATAATCGGAGTCTTATAATTGTGATTAATTTACCATGTATGGGTTAATTATTTAACTTTTTTTGTAATGAATTGCAATATGAAGGGAATCCGTTACAAGGGAATCCGTTACAACATATATAATAAAAAAATAAAGTATAAAGGGCATGGGTGAAGGGAATGCTTCTCAAAATTCGTTTTCATTTCGTAATTCGCGACGGATTTAAAATCTAAATCTATAATCCATTCTTGCTTTTACGGTACAAAAACAATTCCGCTATTAGGGAGAGGATGGGATTCCAACAGTGCGGTACAAATTATTATCCTTAGATAAAAAGGATGTTTTTGTCATTTTAATTATTAATAAATACTATTTTTTTTTTTTTTTTTTGAGCCAAATGGCACTCCTTTTTTCTTTTTTAAAAAATTCAATTATACTGACATATCCAATGAACTTGCCATAAATGCAAAGATAAAATAAAAACTCTGTAAAATGCACTTTTACTTTCATGATATCTTTATATATTTCGTGACCCGAACCCAAAAATAAATGACAAGATAACAAAACATTAAAGTCACCAAAAAGTAATGATGTGGTACCTTTTGACTCAAATAAACTATTTACACAAGGTTAATGGCATTTAAGATTTTTTAAAAAATATATGACAATTAAAAAATAAAAAATAAAACGAATACTAAATGACTAATGTTTATCCTCGGTACAAGGTCTCTTTAACTGTTCATTGACTTTCCGCAATAAAGCTACAGTAAAATAATTGTAATTGTTATACACCCTCATTGTTGTGCACCTCTTTATTTATTTATTTATTTTTATTATTATTTTTTTTTTTGGGAATGTCTTAAAAAGGGTATTTTAGTTTGAACAATGCAATAATTACTCCCTAAAAAAATTCTAGTAATTGTTATTGTCAAAATTAGGTGATTCAGTGTGTATTATGTGCATTTAAATTGATGATGTAACAATTACTCTTCTTATTTAAAGGAATGAAGATAAACAATTGTTATTCCTTCCGTTTCATATTAAAAGTCTATCTGGAGAATTGTGACGATAGACTTTTAATATGGAACGAAAATGGTATTATTCAAGTCTTTTCATAAATTTTATCTAATTATAGTTCTCTAAATAGACTTTTAATATGGAACAGAGATAGTATTATTTAAGTCTTTTTGTAAATTTTATCTAATTAATTAGGTTATATAAATTAGAGTTATTAACGGAATTGTTTTGATATGATCACTAGTGGGGTTCACATCATTTACTCATATTAAAACAACCGTTCAATTCTAAATAATTTTCATATAATTACTACGATTTTTCTAAAAATGATGATGGCAAACTAACAAAAGGGCAGGGATTTATGGAAATCATAATGACGGCTCTATCCTGTAAAACCCATCCTAACCCTAGTTACCAAACAATTACCTTTTTTAATGCATACATACATACACACACAATATATATATATATATTTATGAGTGTGTGTGTGTGTATATATATATATATATAACCTGTATAGTGTCTTCTCTGTTTTTGTCTATATTATATGGTAAGGTCCGCCGAACAAATTTTCCACGTGCATTATACCATATGATTAACATTAACCTAACCATTTTGGTACACAAAGGCTATTTTGGTAATTTCATAATTACCTTCCCATTAAATCATCCCTAACTATCTTTCCAACCAAAACGATGCAACGAACCTTCATTTCATTTTGCCACGTCATTTCATAAACCCTTCCACCAATCGACACGTCCCCACCTTAATTGCTACACTCTCCTTGTATATAAAACCCTCGAGAAACCAAACCCTCGCTTTCATCTCCGCCTTTCCATTTTCTCTCTCTACATATACATATTATATACACTTTCTCTCTCTATAAAGGCACCGAAACTTTGGCCGACACGTAAAGAGCAGAGTTTTCGTACCTGAGAGTTGAATATGCCGCCGGCAGCAGGTGCTGTGTCACCTTCTGATCGTGTTCCGATGATGGCGCCGACGAATGTTCAACCGCCACCGGCGGTGATGCCGGAGGCCTTTCCGAAGGACGCCATTATCGCGTGGTTCCGAGGCGAGTTCGCGGCGGCGAACGCCATCATCGACGCGCTCTGCAGCCACCTGAGTCAGCTGGAGGGCGGTGGCGGATCCGAGTATGAATCGGTGTTCTCAGCCATACACAGGCGGCGGTTGAATTGGATCCCGATTCTTCAGATGCAGAAGTACTATTCCATTGCCGACGTAGCGCTCGAGCTCCGACAAGTCGCTGCAAAGAAGACGCAAGACAGGGAAGAAGGTGAAGATGCGAAAAACAAAGAAGAAGCTAAGATGTTTGCTAAGGCGGAAGAGAAGATTCGAGAAGTTTCTGAGGAGGAATCGATGGGAAGCAATGAGAATTGCGGTGATGGTGAGGTGGTGTATGAAGATTCAGCCAGAGACGATTCACCACCTGATAGTGAGATTACTGATAGAGGTAAGTATAATTTTCATCGGTTTTAGATTTCTGATATTTTTTTTTTATTTTTAATTTTGGCAAAAAAAATTTCTATTCTTCTCTTTATTCTTATTTTTCCTTCATTAATTTTTTTTTTGTCTGATTATGAAGTGTTAGAAACTAAGGTTTGAATATGCCGATGTGATTGTTGTTGAAAGTTGTGCAAGTAAGATCTACAGATTCAAAGCAGAGCAGCTCTGAACTTAAAACAGATCTCTCTTTTTGATATAGTTATATATATACGTATATATATAATTTTATATTTTCATTGAGTTCATATAGTTTATAATTTTATATGTATATGAGTTTTCCTTCTCTATCTGACGTTCAAAGTCGATCTGGAGAAAAAGAAAAAGCAAAATCGAGATTTTCGTTGATTTTTCAACTGAATCAGTATTCAAACACGACGTAAGACCATTGACATTCGTTCGAAATCTGCATTTTCAGTGAATCTGAATTCGATCGCATTATCAAACCTGTTCGAAGAAATTCACGACTCTGTTTTTCCATTTTTTTCTTTTCTTATTTTATATTTTATTTTTATAATAAATAACCAGAATATTACTGTAATTTTTAAAATGATATATTCCCAAGGTTTGTGGGTGGTTTTTAGTTTATCGAGGTCTAAAAAGGGATTTTTTGACTTAAATTTGTTGCATAGCAGGTTAGTTTGTTTCGGGAGTAGCGAATACCATTTTTAATATTAATTTAATGAGCTGAGATTGGGTGTCTCGAGGTGCGTGTGAGATCGGTCATTCAATTGAAGTGAGGCGGCGTGTGGTCCTAACCGTCTGATCTTAACGGACGTCATGCCTTCGTCTTGATGGTTTTGTTTTGGGAAACTGGGCCCGCGCGGTCGAGCTTTGACATTTTCTCATTTTTAATAGTAATACTAAAAAATTCCGGACTCGGTGTGCGACTCGTTTGACTAATTCGGGTGAGTCCGGTGTTGGACTCGGGATTTGTTGTTGCGTTAATGGCTCCGTGGTGTGCGATCCAATTAAAGTGGAAAGCTGGGAGCAAAATGGTGTTTGGACAGCTGGAAAAGCCAGACACTATTATGGCATCTTCCTGCACGTCGGACTCGTGCGCCAGTGGTGGTTTTTAGTACTATGCTTTGTCCTTTACTTCACTTGGTTCTATAGGGCTTTAAATCTGCAAAGTTTTTTTTTTTTTTTTTTTTCCTTCTTCTATCAATTAATGAACCTTTCCGTTTTATGCTAAGTTTAGTTTTGATAATAAGTGAAAACTTAAATGATGAAATGTTATGGCATAAAATGACGTAAGGTGGTGTTTCCTAGGCTGTTAAATTCGCACCAGAAATTCCCCGCCAAGAGAGGATTTAAGTAAAATAACATCATTTTGATAAGTGTGTGATATGACATTTTCGTTAAATTTGTACAGGGAATATCCTGCCAATAGATGATTTAAGTCTGTTCAAATGAGTACTTAACCTCGAGTTCCAATTTCTTTCACATCTTTTTTTAACTGGTTTCTTTTCTTTTCACTAGATCTTCTATTTTCTGGCCAAGTTTTTCCAATAAATTCCAGCCAAGATCTAGCTTTCATTGCTGCCAAGTTTCTTTCTGGTGTTAGAGATCCTTACCCATCCAAATCTCAGTGATACAAGAATTCCTATTAGTAAAAATCTTTTACATTAGGCTATTAGTAAAAATCTTTTACATTAGGCTTCGTTGTTTCGACGTAAAATATTCTTTTTGAAAAATATATATATATTTTTTAGGTAAACTATTCTTTTATTTTTACTCTGTCCATGTTTGGCAAAGGTCTACGTTGAGATTGAGGTCAAGTCCATCGGTACATGTAAAATAACTTACAAAAAATTGATGGATAAGTTATTTTTGTTAAATTTTAATATTTTTTTTCTTTGTAAATATTTTACTTCAATTAAACACCAAAAAATAAAAAAATATTTTACGTCCAAACAAATGGGAGCCTGTTGTGTTATTCGAATGAGGTATTATATCGCATTGGAATTGAATGTGTTTGGTACTAATAGAGACATTCAATTCTGGAACACTCCGAATTTAACGTGGGTAGAAAGGCTTGTTATGAGTAGGGATGATAACAAAATTAGTATTAAGTTGGTTCCTAAGGGTATGTACTTGCTTTTTGTGCACTATCCCAAATAAGAGTTGATACTTGATAATTATGCCTATTTGTTTTTAAGGAATGCCGTATAATTGGTAGTTAATGCAATATCAAGTCCTACAATGATTCCTTTAATGAAAAAAGAAAAAAAGGAAAGTCCTACAATGATTCAAATAAAAGATGATATTTATGCCTTCAAACTGGTATATATTATGCTCTGAATGGTCCTAAATCATCTCTGGCATTTATCAATGTTCCTTTAATTCGTGAATGTAATGAAGTTGTCTTTAGGACTGGAACCAAAGTTAATGACTTGACCTGTTTGAGTTATCAGGTTGAAATTACCATGCTACAGGGGATTCTTTTGTTGGGAAAATTTTGTAATATTTTGTGCAAGATGTCTCATTTCTGTGATGGCAGATCAAAATATGCTTGTTTCTTGGATCAAAAATACAAAAATTATGATGTTCCGAGCATAGTAAGTGACCAGTTATAATTGGAATTAGCTATGATTAGAACTTATGGCATTGACCCAAAATGAGCCCATCCCAAATCTCAAACTCAACTCACTTAACTATGTCTGAGCATAACTAAACTCCATGACGTGAAAACTTACCCACAAGCAGAGTTCGGATTTATGGAAATGGTAGATAGGATGAAGTGATTGGCATGTACTTTCCTGATTTTTGTACCATAAACAGTAATTTTATTTTATTTATTATTATTTTTAAGTTGTTTTCAAACATACCTTCATAGTATAGAAATTATAGAATGTTCTGTAGATGCCAAGTTCCTTCACCTGAAATAGCAAAGAGCTTTTGAAATCACCACTTCTTCTCTTTTATTTTTTCACTTCTGTTCCTTATTCCATTCCTTTTCTCCTCTTTGGAATGCAGGATCTCAGGAAGTGCATCCAATATTAGAAAACATTGAGATATGTTCTAACCATGAAGACTGCGAGGCACGCAGAGCGCAGATCAAAATGACCAAAGGGTTCGTAGCCAAGGAGCCAGTGAAAGGGCATATGGCGAGTTCTTTCTTTTACAATTTAAAGTAAAAAAATTCTAAGATAAATAAAGTCAGATGATAGATACCAGTACAATATGTTATGAGGAGTTAAAAAGAAAAAGACTGCTAATATGTTGCTGATAGTTGATTATGACTGGCAGGTGAATGTTGTGAGAGGTCTAAAGTTGTATGAGGACATATTCACTGAATCTGAGCTCTCCAAGTTGGCTGACTTTGTGAATGAACTCCGGGCTGCTGGTCAGCATGGAGAACTCTCAGGTGGATCCCCCGTGCTTCGTGATGCTTTTATAATTATACTTGTTTCCTTTGGAACGGGGTTTGAGATAGTAAAGGAAATCCTCTGTAGTTTTGGTTGAACAGGTTTGGCTATTCATTTTTCCTTTCTGATTAATTATAGTTGCATTCAGTGTCTTAAAAGGCATATGTCCCTACTGCCATAAGATTCATCTAATAATGAGGATTAAAGTACAAAACCTGAAAAGGCAGTCAAGCAGATTGAGGTGCAAACCTCATTCTTTGAGGGGATTTTAGCAGAAAATTTTATATACTGATCTGATTACAGTTTTTATTTATAAATTTTAAAGTAACTGGTTGAAATTTTTGTCAACTCAAATTAACTTTTCATAAATATTTTTGTTTTCTCATTCTTACTATAAAGCTCATAAAAACTTTTTTAAGGTGCTACTTTTTGTTTAAACATAGGGATTCGAGGCACTTGCACATGTGTATTTCTTAATTACCACTTCTCAATTTCTTGTTACAATTATAATCTACAATAATAATTATCTGTGTTTTCTAGCCTTTTTTATTTTTTATTTTTTTTCATTGTGTCATTCATTTTTTGGTAATGCGATTTGTCTTGCAAAAGGATAATGATTGCTGCAACTCTTTTGTGTAACTTTGTTCCTTGGATCTAAGTGACTCATCTGAACTGAGTACAGGCGAGACTTTTATTTTGTACAACCAGCAGATGAAGGGAAACAAGAGAGAGCTAATTCAACTTGGAGCTCCAATTTTTGGACAGATAAAAGATGAAGCAACAAGTAAAAGTAAGACAGAATTTATGTTGGAATATATTTCTTTTTCTTCATAGAACTGTGTAACATCCACTTTGTTGTTCTTCCATAGACATTTCTAATTAGGATTTATATACTTACAGATCATATTGAGCCAATTCCAGCTCTTCTCGAAGGTGTCATTGACCACCTGGTCCAGTGGCATCTAATCTCACAAAATAGGAGACCAAACAGCTGCATCATTAACTTCTTTGATGAGGTAATTTGTTCTTTCCTTACACCATCAATCTTTATTTTTGACAAGAGAAAAGGTTTAGAGAGGGCACGCTATTCATTTATGAGCCTTGATTTTGTTCAGAAGAGAGGTTTTTCTGAAGTCATTTTCCTTCTTATGCAGGGGGAATATTCACAGCCTTTTCTCAAACCACCTCATTTGGACCAACCTATCTCTACTCTTCTCCTCTCGGAATCAATGATGGCTTTTGGTCGTACTCTCGTGAGTGATAATGATGGGAACTATAAAGGGCCGCTCATGCTTTCACTTAAGGAAGGGTATGTACTCAGATTCTCTGAATTGTACTTGAATGTTTGAAACCTATAGCATTACAATTTAGATACCCCACTCCATGTAGGACTCAAAGAATAACGTTTACCATAAGAGCAATGCAGTTAGATGGCAAACATACAGCATGTTGCTGTTTTCAAATTTTCTTGGTCATTATGTTCAAACTTCTCCCACTATAAGGCTTATGGTAGGAATAGAAACACTGGAGTTTCTCATTCAGAGATATTATGTCAATGAATGCTGAATTGTTCTATCAGTGATCATGTCATTGTGGTAAACACCATGTATCTTCTGAACAAGATTTGTAAGCCTGAAAGTTTCACAGTTCACCCTGCATTGTAGGGCCCATTTTTTCAGTTCCATCTTCATTGATTCTTTCTGCCACGCAAGTTCTGCTAAATTTATGGGCTCAGTGTTCTGAAACAGATGAACATCCAATGCATAAGATTTCCATATAGCTAACTCAAACAGAGATGGGATAGCTGACGGCAAAGTCTCTGGAAATAAAATGCTTCTTACACTATCAGCTCTTTCTGTTCCTAATAGAACAAATTATAACATATAGTCTGATACATGAAGCTTTCTCATACTTTACAGGTCTCTTTTAGTCATGAGGGGAAACAGTGCTGATACGGCGAGGCATGTCATGTGCCCATCTCAAAACAAAAGGGTCAGCATCACATTCTTCAGGGTGCGGCAAGACCCAAACCTAAACAACTCAACAGCAATGACTCCCCTAAATGGAACCATGACCATATGGCAACCAGGCGTCCCAGGTCCATACACGATGCCAAATGGAGCTCTCAATGGCTGCTATGAAGCAATGGATGTGATCCCTAAATGGGGAGTCCTTCGAGCCCCAGTGGTCATGTTAGCCCCAATGAGGCCAATGGTTTTGAGCCCCCAAGGGATCCCTCATGGTGGCACAGGGGTTTTCTTACCCTGGGCGGTTGGACCAAAGAAACCAGCAAAACAGCTTCCACCACGTGCCCAAAAAGGACGGTTTCTCGCACTACCTTCTCCAGTTGAAACACGCATACCAGAGGCCACTTCTGATCCAGGCATCAGCGTTTAGTGTGGAATCGTGCAACTAATTCTGGGGCTGCACTGCACAAGAACACATATAAATCATTGGAAGTACCGTTCGTGTTCTCTCCACGCTCTAAAGGAGCTTCTCTTTTGTACAAACAAGGGCAAGGTGTGCTGATAGATGAGTTAGCTGAATTGCATTTTTCTTCTCTCTTTTCTTCTCCTCTTCCCGGTCCCTACTGTTTTAGCAGTAATTAGGTTCTAGTGTTCACTGTTATACATTCTCTTGAATGTCAATCAAGGCAATGCTCTAGAGATAGGTGAGCTTTAAGTTAAAAAGGAGTATGAAATAGCCTTAACAGAGGGTGGAATTTTGTATTAACTTAAGCTTTTTATATTAATCTTTTCTTCTTTCTAAGGATATAGTTGGCATTGCTTGTGTTGCATCTATCTAATATTCACTAGCTCTCATGTCACTCATCTAGAGAAATTTCAACTGTTTTATAATTCAGAACATGCGTCGATCATGATCCCCCCTCTTGTCTGGCTTCTGCTTTCACCTTTTCTGTAACTAGCATAATATCATTCGATTGTTCTAGGGTTCAAAACATTATCGAGATAGAAAGGCCATATATAGAGGCATCAGAGAGCAGCGGATATGGAAAAGTGATCACTAGGTGGTGAGAAATATGACCACTTTAAAGCCCTCCTAGCTTTCCTGTCTGCCTGCAAAATTCCTATATGATTGTACATTTACCAATGTATACAAGCTTCAGATGGTCCTGGATAATGAAGGGAAATGTTAAGTCACATAAAACGGGAGCGGGAGCGACAACTAATTCGAGAGCGGGAGCGTAAAAGCGGCAGAATTAAGTGATAAACAATGAGGATTTGAGCTAGAACGCGCGCGGAGCGGGAGCGTGTTCGGAGCGTGAGAGCGACACCTGTTGAAAAGGATTGTGTGACTTAGGAGAAATATGCACAATACATGTAAGGAAGAATAGGTCCTACAAGTTTACTACCGAATTTAAGTGAAATCCAACAAATGTATCATAGAGCAGCAACCAAGTTGGGAAAAACTCAGTACTAAAAGGGGAAAATAATTAAAATATTAGAGGTGATCTAGGTTACTTATTTTCTGCCTCTCCGGCTAGTCCAATTGGGTCAGTTGGTTTTGGAATTTTCTTGAAATCAATTTGATGTCATTCTGCTGTCAACTTTGTCTTTTTTTTCAACATCTTTCCTCCAGCCTTTATTGAGGAATGGGTGTGAAATGGCTGGTGTTTTTCATATGATAATTTTACTGAGGGCCTTCAATTATAAAATAATGCAAGCTATCATTGAGTTTACAATCCTTTTATTGGTAGCATGCCTTCTATATATCTTTTTCTTTTGTGGCAATGTGGTTTGAACTTTGACATTTCCATAACAGCTTGGGAGTTATCACTAGATAAATACACTAGTTCTTTTCTTTGATTCCCACATTCACTTGCCATAAATCTGCTATTCAAAAGGTAGAGAATGATCCAAATCCTCTCCAGTATAACCGTAATTCGCTTTCATTCCGTTAGCCAAGCATGTTATAATAATGTGGAGCTTAAAATCACAATATTATTGAAACGTACTTCACTAACCGGATGGAATTGTGGTTCTCATATGTTTCTCACTTTCATCTGAGTGTCCTTATATTATAATATACATGAAGACAAGACACTTTGGATATTCTTTTTCTAGATCATGATACTCTGGATATTCTTAATGCTGTGCTGTGGATAATCTGAGACATAAAACTTACAGAACAACTCTTTTTCTCATGAATCATTGTCGTGATGCTCCTCAAACAAATAACTATATATATATTATAAGAAATAAAAAATAGACTCGGCATAATCCTCAGTGACTTGCACGAGTCTTAGTATCACAATTTTTTGCCAATACTCTCTCTCTCTCTCTCTCAAATACCAGTGTGCATTCTTGGCAATATCAGGAACTTGAAAAAAGGAAGAAGAAACACAAAAGAAATTGGAATGCAGAGGAAACTCCAGAGATGCTGTGTAACGCACACAATAAAATATGTACATACAACAACTATAACTGATATACTAATCTTAATAATGGCCATTGTTGTTTCAACTTTCAATGTTGCTTCCATCCTTTTCCTAACTAGCAAGCTGAACTTAAGAATCCAAAACATCATATCAATAAAACTGCAATCACCAAAAATCAGGGCTAAACATATACAAACCAATATACCCAGTGACCAACACAATAAATAGTTGCAATCAGAAGAAATGACAAAACAAATTTTATTATGCACACAATTGCTTCAACTTTCAATACTAAGATACAGTGACATGATATATTTTCTTCACAAACCAATTATAGAGGAAAGTTATCCCCAGGCCTATCCAACTAAACGCTAACAATGAACAAATATAACAGAAGAAAAATATAGAACAAATTGCAATATATGTGAAGCACATGTATTATTAACATTCACTTCACGTTAAGCTTTCACTGCAGGCTCATCATCATCTTCAATATCCCAACTCAAATCCTCATCTTCTTCTTCCGCGGCACTCAACCGCTTCCTCAGGACATCTTTATTTGGGCTCCCACCAAGATTCTCTTTCTTTTCATCAATGCTCCCAAGATCCTCAATCTCATCCCAGCCAATGTCTTCTTCGTCGTCGTCGTCCTCCTCGGGCAACGATGGCTGGCTTGATACAACAGAAACATCACTATCTTTACAGCTTTCAGCATGATCACCCTTCCCATCCAAAGCCACCTTTTCATCGGCTTTTGATGCCGACTCATCCTTGCTCACTTCAGATGTTTCTTCGGCCTTGACTTTCTCAGTAGACCTATCATCACTGCTCGGTTCTACGGCATTGTTCTCATCCACATTAACCACATTGGGCTTATTATCTGCATTCTCATCAACAACCCTTGAACTACCAACTCCAGATTCATCAACAGAACTTTCCTCCTTCACAATCTGGGACAAATCTTTATCACCCAATTCCTTATTTTTCAATGTGCTACCTTCCAATGCCGCATTCGGCTCCTCGCCTTCGTCATCAACGTCCCAACTCAATTCTTCATCAGACTCAGCAGCAATTGCTCTCTTAACAAGATTAGCTCTCACATCCTCTTGTTGCTTGAGCTTGTAAACCCTATAAAAGTACCGACACCAGAAAGTCTCATGATCAACTGAATTCGGCACAACCCTTTTATATATAGCCCCCATAGCCCCATTTTCTTCAATCAAGTTCTCAACTTCCTCACTCTTCTCTTCCAACACAAACCCTAATTTCCACTTACTGTAATCATCCAAATCCTCAGGCTCTTCACAGTACGTATTCACATCATTCTGAATTGTGCGCAATTGCGCATCGAACCGACTATACCGTCTTGAATTGAAGCTCTGATTACCATTATTATACGACTCAGAGGTATCGGAATCGGCATCGGAGGGTGCGAGGAGGGTGTCCTTACCTTGTGAGATGATCTCGGCCGTCGATTTCCACACTTCGTCGATCGCGTGACCGACAGATCCCTTAGCTGCCGACGCGCCAACCTCGATTGACGAGGGGAGTTCCTTCACGGCGCGACTAGCGACTTCACGAAAAACGGCGGTTTCATTCTTCAGCCCAGACCCGAATTCCTTGAGATCGCGACGGTAGGTCTCGAGTACTGACTCGGATTTGGTAGATAAGGTCTTGACCAGACCTGCAAAGCTCCACCGGCCGCCGCCGCCGCCATCGGATGGTGGATTTGGATTAGGGTTTGAATTGGGATCACGGGATGGGAAGCTCTGATCTGAGTCGTCATCGACTTCTCCTCCTTTGTCGTCTCGAGATGGATTTTCGTGCTCCGAACTTTGAGGCATTTCGAGCACTGGAGGCTCAGGATCGTCTAATATGATGGATTTGAAGAAATCCATGAATGAAAACAGAGAATTAGGGTCTCTGTGATATCGATTGGGTGGTGACTGGTGGGTCAATCGAAGAGATCGATATTATTATCAGAAACGACGAACGGAGAAGGTTTTGGATGCGCACGATGCGTAGTGTGCACTTCTCATTGGACCAAGGCTCAGTTTAGCGATATGATCACATAAGGAGTTTTCTAGGACCGTTAACATGCGGCCCACTAACCTAATTGGGCTCGTAAGACCCATTCCAATGGGGGAGAATTGCCCAATTGTTACAAGAAAGACTTGTCCATATCAAATATGAATGAGAAATATATGAATTAAGTATTAACGCAATCTAATAGTTTAATTTTTGAATTGGGTTGCGAAATACTTGGCCTGTTATAATTGATATCAAAGCCAAATCTAATCTTTGATCTGATATTGCCAAGGGCCCGACCCAGAGGTATACTGTTGCACACCTAGGGATGGCAATTTGACCCGCTCCTGCGGTTACCCGCTCCACCCCGCACCGTTTTTGATGGTTTTGGAGGACCGTTTTACTTATTTGAGCGAAGATGGCTTGATGTAATAAAAACTCGCACGGGTTTGGTGCGAGGGCGGGGGGAGGTCGCCCCGCACTTCCCCGCCCCATTTAGATAGGCAAATTACTTAAATACTCATATTTCATTAGTATATATATTTCCCACTATATATTTAGTACCCTATATAATAATATTAAAGTAAAAAATGAATTTGATTAAAAAGAAATTTGCAATGGTGAATAATTGAAGATGAGGGGAAAAAAAAAAGAGCAAATTTATTTCAACAATAAATAAATTATGATCTTAAACGGAGCGGGGCGGGTACCCGCGAAGGTAAAAATATTAAACGGTTACAGGGATGGGGTGGAAAGTACTCCCGTTTTGTGGTTTTGGGCGGGGACGGGGGCAAGATTTTTAAACGATTGTGGGGGCGAGGGAGGGTACACCCGCCCAAACCCGCCCCCCGTTGTCATCTCTATGCCCACCCAAGTAGGCAGAGTGGTGCAAGTTTGGATGGGGAAAAATGTTAAAAGGATAATTTATTCCAAATTAGATCAAGATGATAAAGTAATTACGTATATACGAGTTGTGTGTTAGCACCATCTAATAACTTAAATTTTTTAATGCCAAACACCTACTTAAATTTTTGGGACATATCTTGAAGCACCCGCATTTACATTACAATTATCCATTGCCCCCAAAAATTTAAGTTGGTGTTTTGCACCATCTTAGAAATATCCTATAACAACATGCCATCAGCAAATAATTGCTTTTCACTGAAAATACTTAATATAGAAATTTTAAATTCAATATAAAAAATGCTTAATATTTGAAATTGTTTTTGTTCCACAATTATTTTGTTCCACATAATTGTGGAACTTTGAAACAGATATACTTGCAAACCGCAGCGACAGTTAATTCTTGTGAAATGAGGTGATGATCTTGCAATTCTTTACGTGAAAAGGTGGACATCACGTGAAAGTTGGGATCATTCCATTGATTAAAATAAAAAAAAAACTATTCCGTGACCATTCCTCGGACCAAGCAATAACTTCTTTCTCACATCTTTGGTCACGGGAGACATGTCTTAAGAAACACAATTCTTTCTCTCATACTCCGCGCATACTTTCGCTCTCTTTCTAATCTGTATAATTTAAATTTTGTCTTTTTTGTGCTCCTACTTTTTGTGACTTAGGGCATGTCTATTCATTAGAGGCACGAATCCGTATCCCCTCTTGGAAGGGGATCCCATGCCTTGGTATAATGCAATACACTACGTTGTAATGCAAGAGATACATGAAGAAGTTATTGTGTAATGTAGTTGTTTCATAAGTAATGTAAAACACGGATGAAGTGACATAGGAAGGGATCTAGGTTCGACACATCTATCAAATATACTCTGATTGCATAGACCAGAAAGCCTAACTAATACTAGCCTTTGTTTTTTTTTTTTTTGTATGTTCGGTAGAATCAGAACTATTCAGGAATATATGAAGTTTGAAGCAAAGGTAGAATTCCAGTTGTAATTGCAATGCATGGTATCAAGCTACTTTTGCTTTTGACTAAAGCAGGTTTGAACAGCATAAGAACTCCCTTTGGGGGGGGGGGGGGTAAAAGAGAGGAATGCTTCCATCGAAGTCACATTCTTACTACTTTCCATGTTACCCCATCTTGTAAGTATAGAATCATACATGCATACCATCCATGTGTTCAAATAGACTCTTCACAAATCACAATTTGTATTCATCAAAAAAAAAAAAATCAGCAGTTTTCTCTCTAGCTATCTCTGATTTTCACACAAACAATGGAGAAAAGGGAGAATATTGGCATCTGCCAGAAGCTCTTCAACTTCTTCACGAATAGCCTCATTGCTCCAGGCGTAAAGCGCATTACCACCAGCCATCCAGCGTCTCATGAATCCATCGAAGTGCTTGTTGAAGAAGGGTCGGGAAGGGAAGGGGTGCTTCACCCGGCCAAGGGAAAGCCAGAGGAGAATACAAGTTCTGAGGTCATGGTTGAGTTCAGGCACACCAATGGGTTGCTGCACAATGATGATAGCCCAATTGTGACTGGTGATCAGACTCAACTGCAGAACAATATCGAGCAAGGGAAGAAGGAAAAAGAAAATGATCTAGCTGCACAAAACGTTGTCAAGATTTACCACAGAAGGGAGATACCTCTATCCCAAGTCCAGGAGGAAACTGGTTCACGAGTTCAAGGTGAAGGCCTCCGAGAATTAGAGCGTTCGAGCATTGCCATTGAGAGCCGTGTGACAGGTCCAGAAAAGGTTACAAGCATCAAAGATAGTGTAAGGGAGAAAGAGAAGGGTAAAAACATTCCAACGGAAAAGTTGAATCAGCAAATTTACCTGAAAATGACAAGGCCTGAAGACAGAAAAATGTCGCCGCATATACCTAGAAGGCCCCTTCTGATGGGTGTGGAACCCAACATAAATGAAAAGTCCACTGAATTCATAGACATTAAAAAAAAGGAGTTTGAGAAAGGGTTACAACATTGAGCCTTCGCAATGGTGGTACTGTGTGCAGCAACTATGGCATCAATTGGTGGGTCAGTCCTAATTTCCTCAGTGTATAAGATCTATATTACTCTGTAATAATGTAAAGCATAACATTCAAGTTCTAATACTATAGGTTTCTACTGAATCTATGTTTCAGGTACCTTTTAGGAGATTGAAAAAAATAAAATAGATTTTCATTTCAGATGTGAAGTACGGAGATGATGTATGAGCTTCCACTTGAATTTCTGGTCTTGTCTTTGGTAAAACTGTCAAGATTCGAGTTGCATGACATTCTCATCTTGAAGCACAATTTTTTTGAATTTGGTAGCTTGAATCAATAATTTGATTTGGTAGTAAAATGTTACAAGTTTTGGATGTTTTTTTATTGTTTTTATTTTAAATTTTTTTATGGCACAAGAATCGAACTATCAATTGCATCCATCCATTTTTGGATGACATGACATCCCCAATTGAACTCCCCTCCCTCTTTCTAAAATTCTCTCTGATTGCTGGCATTTGACTCATCACCATTAAAGCTCTAACAAAGCATCCACCCTCAAAGTTCTCCGCCATTTGAAACTATGAATACCAATCCAAGTACTGGCAGTGCTCTCTCTCTCTCTCTCTCTCTCTCTCTCTCTCACACACACACACACACACATCAAAATGATGATAGTTCTTCTCTATATGTAACAAATATATTTTGACCATTTCTCCATGTGTGTTGGTGTGTGCGCTTCAATCCGTGGTTAGTAATCAATATCAGATTCTTAGCTAAGGGAAGTTATGAAAAATTCAGTCGCAATGCGATATAATCTAGATTAGGCTCCGCTTGCCTGGAGAGAAACATAAGGAGAAGAAAATTCTTAATCAACCAGGCCTGTAAGTCTCAATTTACTCAACAACCAGATAGAGAGAATCCATAAATTTTCCATGAAAAATCCAATACACCTCCAGTCCCATCTGCCAAAAGTGAGTCATAAATTGGGGGTTTGAGTATGATCCTGTTGCAATGGTGATATGATTATGGGCTATTGTGAGTAAGAAAAGGCAAAGATGATGGCCAAGTCTCAAGGCCGTGGAGATGATTGTTTGTCAATGAGGGATCCCATTTGACAGTGTTGTAGAGAGAGAGAGAGAGAGAGAGAGAGAGAGAGATTTTGTCGACCTTTTAAGTTCAGGGATAACAATGAATGGTTCATGGGTAGGGTATACCCATAAATTTTCCCAAAAGGAAAAGAACAAAAGAAGTTTGAAAGGAGTAATGATAAATAACTGCAAAACACGTGACGAGCATAAGAAAGGTAAACTTGATTATATACCATCAACGTGTATCAAATCAGTATACATGTAACACAGAAAGACATACAAGCCTCCCAATTTCAGATTCTCAAATTTGAACCCTTATCATCTCAACACCCAACAAAAAGTATTCTGTACTAAATTTTTTTTTTGGTAAATTTGGGGTATATCAGCATACCAGCAGGTCTGTTCAAAAAGTTAAAGCTCATCTTTTGGTGGTGTCTGAAAACACTGCTCATCCCAATAATAGGGGTACTTCAATTTGGCAGCAATATGAGGCATGAACCAATCCTCGTATACGAACCTGAAAATGCAGATGCCAGATTGCAAATGTTCGTTAAGTAACCAACGAATGATGGTTTTTCATGTGAACTATGATGCAACAATGATCACAAACACTGTGTGAAAAAGGAAAAATAAAAAATAAGGGAAAAAGAAGAGATTCTTGCTTAGTATGTATTTTCTGCAGAAAAGCTCAAGTAACTCGATCATTGTTCATTGTTGTCTCTACACCTGGGAATGTCTGAAAAAGCAAGCATTTGTAACTACCCTTTTGACATAAATAATACTCTCCCAAGAAGAGAAAGAGATGGAGGAAAGGAAGTTCAGCTTTACATCATGGACCAACTTCCATCTGTAACTTCATTTACTGAATCTGTGAGTGGATGGAGCTATTTGGATAACAAAAGTAAAGGTAAAAGGGCAAGACGACCCAGACTAGACTCACTCGAGATGCTTCTCTCCTCTGTCAATAGAAATACATATAGGTCCTTTCAAGAAAACTCTCGCAGGGTGGAACCACAAGAAGCAAGGATAAAAAGAAGAATCAAAGCATGTAGTTCCAGGCCACTGGATATTGCATCTTTTAGAGACCTAAAGAGCTCTTGCTAAAAGGTAATGATATATGAAGATTTCTATCTAATAGTTCTCAGGAATTATAATGACTTAATGTCCAACAGTCCATGCCGATTAAGTTTGAGCATCATATAAGCAGGCATAGACGTTATGATATTTGGGAACTCCAATGTTTCACACTCAGCATATGCTATCAGATGAGTCAAAATCTACTCAATCTCAATAAAAGTTTTTCATGCCTTAACATATAAGTATCTTATAGATATTATACACAATGCATCTTAAGTAATAAATTCATTGAGAATCTTTTATATGCAAAATAATAGAAAGAGATAATTACTTACACTTTGACTGGTGGACGAGATATAACAACCAGCACCTGTAAATCCTCTTGTTCATTTGTATTCCAGACCTGTGACAAGAATAGTAATAGCAAATCAATCAGTAATACATTTATCAGGATAAATCAACTATTAATAATTAATACAGGTGATTAAAAATCATTATTGCAATCAAACACTTAGGGAACATCCAATAAGTGCCCCACCAAAGGAAATGACACCTGGTTGATGTAAACATGTTAATTCGGGTAGCAATCTCAGGATGAAAAACAGCAGGTCACTAATTTGTGTGGCAATAACTCTAAAACCTATTAGGTGGTGTAGAATGATCACTTCAAATGTTCTCTCTCGCAGGCGCATGAGCTTGCACAATACAGACACACTCACAATTTAAATTCCGAATGTTGAATAGCACGGGCACGCACATATAAACACACTACAATTCTATGCAAAGCTATTTTGCCCTACTATTTTATCATTATTTATTATACAACTGACCTGTAGGCATCAAGGCAAGTGGCGGAGACCAACAAAGATACAAGGAGCTTTAGTCTTTTTCTCAGTATGTGCAGATACCTTTTCCTTTGTTGTTTTGACACGTATTTGGTAAGGGTGCATTTCTCTTGATTTCATGTTACTAAAATCTTTTTCCGTATTGTGATCCATTACTTATTTCTCTTATCATCTTGTTTGTCAGAAACTTTGTACTAAATGTATTCTCTCTTCTGCATTTATAGATTCTAAACCAGAGAACATGTTTTACACAAAGTGCTCCAATGGGCCCTTAATATATGAAACATTATAACCACATCGAAAACATCCAAACAGAACTCCAGAATCACTCCACCTAGACTTCAAACAGTATAGTAATTTTGACTGCAAACATAATACCAACACAAACATTCTGCCCACCAAGTTCTACTTTGATATAAAGCCCATTAAACAGTATCGATGCCTGTTAATAGAAGGTGCGGGAAATTCAGATTGGTAGTTTTGCATAAAGTAATCGTCAGAAGCCCATATCTCTAACCAGAGGTCAAGTCTCCATACACCAGTGAGCCACAAACTGTTGGAACAAGGGATTGTTATTTAGTTACTACAAGCAATACCCCCAAAAAAAAAATAATAATAATGATAACAAGCTTCCCGAATTATATAACCTTAATTAAAATCCACAATGTCAATTTCTCCAAAATGAACATTTCTTAAAAGACAGATTGTCCACATACAAATATATCTAATCTCCATTTTGCATCTAAACCGCCAACCAGAGAATGATTTACCTGGTGAACATCATTAACAGGAATATGAAATGTGCTATTTGGAAAGATAGGAAGTTCTTGTATCTTCCCAGGGTGTTTTGAATGCGAATCTGAGGCAATATAAAGAGTACCACTCCCTTTTAGGACAATAAAAACTTCTTCACAAGAATGCCTATGTATGGGTGTGCGCGATCCTGGAGCAAATGTTTGAAGCCATACCTCAACCTGTCACAAGAAATTGAAAAAACTGTAAGGAGATGAAACGAAAAAATTCAGTCTCCAGTTCTTTAAAAAACTGTTCCTCTTATTTATGTCATTCTCTATTTGTAACTGGTAGTTGACTCGTATGGTAGGTATTATGGAAAGATTGCAGCAAAAAGATTGTTATCACATATTAACACTCTTCTATAACCTCTTCAAGCACAATCTTCACTCAAGTGTCACTATTATACAGATTTTGATGGGCCCACGTAGCAATTTTGTGAAGAATCATAAAGTTTTTACAAATTAATCTCAAATGTGAAATCTGTTTCCAACATAAACCCCTCAAGGAAGTTTAGGGACATAGTGTGTTTTGCACCTCATTCATCCCGTGCAACAATGAACCTGCGACTGTAATGTGAGACAAACCAGGCCTTCCATAGTTGTCTTGCGGAAGCTCCCCGATATTCCTGACCAGTGGTAATCCTGCATTGCAATAAAGTTCATGTTCTTGACCATGAAAAAGTTTAAAGAAGTGAACACCAAGGGGTTGGCTCAAGTGGGTAAGTCACTCGACCCTAGTGCCTTATGAAGCATCAAGTCTAGGGTTTGGCGAGTATCAATTAGGGAATTTTTTTTTTTTAAAAGAAATGATAAATAATAGCAAAGACTACACTTGAGAACTGATGATCAGGGGAGAGACACTACTGACAGACCAAACAAGCATATTCGTCATTATCTCTGCCATTTAAGTATCTGTAACTCTAGTTAGGCATTAGTCATAACGTCAATACCATACTTGTCCTTTATTTCTTTGCTACTAGTAGTCTAGCCAGAAAATTAAATTTTAACATATTGAGCAAATTCTCAATAGCAATTCAATACATTTAAGTTCTGGTATTCACGATTTTTGAAGGTTCCATTACTTAGGATTTAGGAGTACTCCCAAGGCCTAACTAGTTCCTATATATAATGGGTAGAATAATGAAAGTAATGGCTAATATGTATAGGGTTTTTCTAATCAAATATATATATATATATATATATGTTTAGGGTTTTTTTATTTTTTTTTCTTTGATAATGGGCCAATTTTAACATGGATTGTGTAGCCGAAGTGGTTTTTATCCCTTTGATGGAGTGGATGAGATCAACACTATGCCCCTGCCCCATCCACTTCATTAAATGGATAAACAACCCTTCCGCTACACTCCTCGGCTTGAGAAATAGGTCTAAATAGCAATAGTAAAGTGGAGTACAGTACGACTAGAAATATTCATCAATTGATTTTGCTCCAGGTTCTCCTCAAGTAAATGGGAGGACAGTGGTAGGAGCATAAGCAATATTAAGATTCAATGACTAAGATCGCAGCCAGAGCTGGAGTATTCAAAAGGGTTCCCCAACATTTCCAAACTTTATCAACCCAACCAGTCCAGTCCTTGATTATCAATGTCTTGTATCGTATGAATTTTTAGGCTTTAAGATATGATAGAGTATGCTTGAGTGGGAATAATGCCAGTAATAATAAATTGAATTCCCCAAATGGACCATTTTAAAGTGCCTGTATTGATTGAGTTTCAGTACTTAAATGAGTTAATCGGTAACTTCTGCAAAATTGGGAGATAAGGAACCTAAAAAAATCCAAGGATCATGAAAATTACTCAAAACCCATTAACTATAAACCACTAATAAGCAACGAATCAACGTTACACACATATAATATATGTGTGTGTATTAGTGTGTGTTTGTGCAGAGATGAAGCGCGAAGCACATAATAGAAACGATGGTAAGAACTAACCAGTAATCGAACAGTGAGAAGCATTGGCCGTCGCAGATAATAGAAGCGTTAAAAAGAAGATGACCCAGAGGTCGCCCATCTTTCTCGCTCGCTCCGTCGCTGTGCTACTGCAACTCTCTCTCTCTCTCTCTCTAGTCTCTTCTGTCGTACGGTGGTTAGAATTTAGAAAAATGCTTTTGGGAGCATCCGATTCGTCTGGACTTCGGTTCTCGAAACGGGTCCGGATTATTTTGCTGACTAATTATTACGGGTCTTGCACAATGAGGAGCAGGGTTCTCTTTATTATGTTTTTCACCCTTTTTTGTTTTTTTTTTTTTTTTTTGGGTATATGCACCCCACTTTGAATATAAAATAATATTATTGTTCTCATTTTAATTCAAATAAAATAATATTATTGTTCTCAATTTAATTCAAATAAGGGGTATTTATGTCATTTAGTTTAAGAAAAAAAAAAACAAAAATGAGTACATTTATCTTTTTCCTTTTTTTCAACTCACATTAATTTTCAATAAACTCATTAGTCTTGCTTTCATACATGTGTTTTAGGTTTGTGTTCACATTTGTTTCTAAATGGCTAGAAGAAGAATAAGATTCAAACATAAAAGGCTAAGAAGGATGACTAGTGCAACAAGAGTTCATATTTCTTAGTTTAATATGAAACGTAACAGAATGTAATTATATTTTTTCAATTTAGACTTTGGTTGTTTCAATGTAAAATATTTTTTTTTAGATAATTTTTTTTTATTAAAATTTTTTGTAAAGGTCTAAATTGAGGTTAAGGTCGAGTCTATCGGACAGGGCATGTAACATAACTTGTAAAAAATTAATGAATAAGTTATTTTAATTAAGTTTAAAAAAAAAAATTTCTTTCGTAAATATTTTACGATAACCAAATATTAGAAAACACAGAAAATATTTTACGCTCAAACATACAGAGCCTTAATGAATATTTATTAAGTAATTTTACTCACTAAAGATATGATTATTTTTTGTTAGTAAAAGAAAAACTTTTGAATAATCTTCTTATCCTTTTACAAAGTAGACTCATTATTTAATAATCAAAATTAATAAATTGACAAAATAAATACAAAAACAAAGCTTGAATTAGATATCAAATTTTCACATAAAATAAGGTTCCTCACTGCGAGTACAAAGCATAACCAGACTTTGCAGTTTGCACTGGGCACACAGATAGACAAGCTTACCTGTTGAATACAAAAGTTGGAGAAAAATTCAAGCTTTGAGATTCATCATCATACTGCATTGTCTGTATGAACTATATATAAAGTGCTTATCCACATCAACATAACAGCACAATGTATCCCAAGCATACGCATAGCTACAATATATTTGACTGGCCAACCCACAAAAATTTTGGATAATAAATATTAATATACATCAACAAGAAAAAAAGTGTATGTATATGCCTAAGAAAGGCAAGGGGCAAAATACCCTGCCCATCTATTAAGTTCCTCATTCTGGCAGCAAGTTGCTTCATTTTGTGAGGGGTTAAAATTAATCAGATATGGCACGCAACATGAAGCATGAATTTGAGAATCAGTTAGGAACGAATGAGCCGACTGATCCAATCGAATGAAGGTGATTCCATTGAACTCTTAGTCCTTTTTTTGTAACCACCCAAGCTGTGAACCAGAAAAAGGAAAAAGAAAAGTTAAGATACAGATCACAGTATGGAATGGAGCATGAAAATCGGACACTACTGATGAAGTAAAGTACCTTCCATGCATACATCGCGAAGAATGCTACAGTATCTGCAGACCAAACGACTGCAAATGATTTCCAAAAGAATGGAATTGTCACATTTAGGAGTGGTACAAGGAGAAAGAGATAGTTCAGGGCTTCTTTCTCGTTCTTTGAGCAGTCTCGGGCCCTAAGGGAAGGAATAGCTGCAGAGTGGGTAATTAGAATATCTCATTCAAACAAAACAAATTTGAGATTCTTTTTCAATCCACACTCTACACTAACTAGATATAATCCTGTTAGTCAATATACAGGACTTGTAAACCATGTGAAATGTTCCACAAATTTCCATACAGAACAGGTACTGATATCAATAACATATAAAGTCATTTCTTACATAGAAAGTTATAGCTAATATATGATTCAAGGAGAAAAACAAAGACTCCTTCCAAGTGTTATGAGAAACATACTCATTTCATATGCAATCAACAAATGAAAAGATTAAATCAATTTGGGCGGTGTCCAAAAGTCATTTCTCCAAATTTGATGTTGTATTAAGTTTTGTACATGAGCCGAGATTACAAAGAAATAATAAGTTAAGATTCGATGGAGCATATTTGAGTACTTGAGAATATTCCAATAAACTGTTAACAACTATCTACTCCAAAAGCTTAAGCTTTTAGAGAGGGTGTAACTTAAATATATAAATCCTTCAACACGCACGGGTGGCCTTCTTTCGGTCCAACACGTGTTTTTCAAATTTTTAATTAGGGTGACGGTGAGGTTTAAACTCGAGACATTTGGCTCTGATTCCATGTTAACAACCATCTACTCCAAAAGCTTAAGCTGTTAGAGAGGGTCTAACTTAAATATATAAATCCTTCAACATAAACTATTCGATAATTGTGAAGAAATGAGAAAAAAAAAATACAAAGTACCGGAAAAGGAACCACAAATGTCTATTTCATAAGCAAATCTGGGATTCAATTTGGTGGAGCATAACTTACTGAACATCCAGATGGACCACATCCCCATTAATCTCCATATGTCTGGTTCATTTGATGGAAATATAAGATTGAAAGCGAGAGCCCCTCCCAACAACATTGAGGCATATCCTTGAACCTCAAAAACTGAATATAAAGCGGTTCCAGGTACAGCAGGGTTTTTGGTAGCAGTAGAAGCTCTTGGTGCAAAGGTTGCAGCAGTTTTCTGAACAACCTGTTGTGAAAATAAAACTTAATAGATTATAGGTTGAAATTTGTTATGATGAGAATTTTCCTCTTGTGGGTACTGGGCAGTTATAAAACAAAATTACTGTTAAAGGACAAGTTAAACAAGTTGAACTTTGCACATAAATTAAACGCAGTCCAGATGCAATTCATTTCAAGTACTAACTTGTCGCAAATAACATCACATTGGAAGGGATTTCTTTGATTTGGTTATGCTGAAAATTGGAAGACTGTAAAAGCAAATTTAATACATAATGTTTGATGAAATACAAAGGATTGGACATTTCAATCGTTTACTATAATTTAAAAAATTACATGCATTGTGCTATAAACTAGTCTTAACTTTCCATAATATGTTTAATGACATAGGAGACCATTATAATTAACAGGCCTTTTGTCATGGCAAAAACAGAAACTCCAAAGTCTCACTAATTTTACCTAGATTCGTATAAGTGGTTCAAATTTTTATATTAATTATGTTCTCATTTATTTTAGTTCCGTCATTATTTAGCTGTCACTCACACTTCTGAAGCCCATCTTGCATCAACTAATCCTCCTTACAATTATCAAAACTGGTCTTTAATTTAATTGTATAAAACTATCTTGAGAACTGTTTTACATTAACAGCCAAAAGGCTGCTAGTAAGACTACCAAGAGAGCAATGATGAATCCAATCCAACCCTGGATCCTATTATGCAATTTACTCCATTAAAAAAAATGGCAATTTTCGGTACAAATCGATCATACAACACCAACATTTTTGCCTTCTTTTACATATGGAACTTTGATTCTGTTATCAAGATTGACGTCATCTCAACGTCCTCATAAAAATGAAACTGGATCCTAGGGGTTTGTTTTATACATCAGACACACCACACAGCATCTAACATCATCAAATTTTGTTATTTACCAGGTATGTTTTAAAATTAGTAGAATTTAGGAGGAATCAATGCAATGACATACTAACATGAGTTTCTTTCTCCCTGTGACAAACTTTGTGGGCAGGTGCGAGACACTGAGCAAGGTACCACACTGGTATGCTACATAATTTTTAGGATTTCAAGAATGCCATACCAACCCTAATGGGGTATAAGAACGCATAATATGGTTACCATTCTGTCCGATCAGCACAAAAAGACGAGTGTCATAATCCCACGGCGCCTGGGAAGGTGAAGTTTAAGTTGAAGTGCTATATGTAGGAACAACACCATTCTATGACACAACGCATTTTAAAGCTGTGATGACCTTGAATCAATCGGAAATCGATAGGGTGTCTGGTCCGGGGGAGCTAAAAGTCGACAATATTGTGTTGGTAGGATGAGGGTTGTTACCCTCCTATAGCTTGATCAAACAATATTATATCACATTCACAATTAACCAAAAAAACTCTGAATTCTCTCAAATGCCCATTTGGTAGGATAGAGATTTGTTTTTCCATCATACTCAACCAAACAAAAAGAGCCAAAAAGTTTCCTTTTCCCAATAATTCATTTTTATTTCATCCACCCCACCTTTCAATTCCAAACTAAAACATCAATTAAGAAAATCCCAATTAGAACTCTAACAATAAATATTTCATGGGTAGGTTCAATTTTCTTCTCACACTACAACAAATAGCCACTTCAACACCTAAGACCACACCACAACTCAACCTACGCTTATTCCAACTATATTTGGGCTCATAAGATTACAAATTCAATTAAACCACACACTGCATAAATTTTCATTACAAATTAAAGAAACCCTGATTTCAAAACCAAATCAAAAGAGTGTGTAACACATAGAGACGTACCTTCTTGAGGTCTTTGTCGATTGCAGGACCAGTAGGTGTTACTGTTGTTGAAGCCTGGTTTAATCCTTCAGCTTCTTGTTCTATGTTGCTCATTCCATTGGGTTGTTCTAGTTCTTGCTTAAATTCCTCTACCGTCTGTGTATCTAATTCATTTGAACCCGCATGAATTTTGATACTTTTACTGCGAAACTGGGTATTGAACGAGCTGTTCCTGAGAAATGAAGAGGTTATGGGTACCTTCAAGATGTGCCGATTGCAGAGAGACGTTGAGATTAGGGTGTTCATGTTCTTTAACAACATTTAGAGAGAGAGAGAGGAGAGAGAGCGAGTGAGTACGAGGCAAACAAAAAACAGAGATAAGGTACGCAAGGCGAAACGCTTTTGGGTTTCACGTTTCAACGACTTGCGACAAACGACATCGTCTTCCATGCTGAAATGTAATTGCAGTTAATTAACACGCTTAGGGTCCGTTTGGGAAGTGCAATGTGATGTAGTGTACTGCTTTAACTTAGAACAGAACAAGTGTTTTGTAGTGTGATGTTCTGAAATGAGAAAAAAACATGTTTGGTGTTTCAAGTTTGCTCTACCGAATCATGGAACAAAAATATGGTAGAACATGTTTGGTAATGTATATTGTTCTAAGAAATATGAGAACAAAACATGTTTGGAAGACTGAAAGTGTAACCAAAATCAGTAGAAAAATAAAATAATTAAATATGTTGGATTAAAAATGTTTTTAAACAGTTGTCCCCTACATTATTTCAATATGGAACTGAAATAAAGTTTCAATATATTATACATTTCATGAATTTTAATATATTACATACATGAGTATCAAAAATATTACAGCATTCGTCAACAGTCACAATAAAAGTTCATAAAATAAAATTAAACTTTCAATATTACATCATTTCTCAACAGCCACAATAATAAATAACAACAACATGAGCAAAAATAACAAGAATATAGTTATAGTAAGACAACAATAAGATCCATAGATAATGTAGTTTTGCCGATTTTGTTGAGCTTGCATAACAGTAACTACATCCTCCAACTCTTCCTACACATGACCACCCAGTTGCAGACGTTGGTGCATGTCATCCAACCATGTAAATGCGCGATCATGTGACTAAATTAGAAAAAAGAGTTGTACATTATTAGAATGCACCTGTAACACTAAGATGTAGTTAAAATATTCTTATTAATGCAAAGAAAATTGTATACCTCCCAAGCTGGACATCTATAGAATGAACGTCCATAATTCTTAGAAGTTCCAGCCGTATAAAGATTCATTCGACCCCTTCCACATGCACAAGGTGGCCCGTCACCCTGTATCTTATACATAACTGCATATGCAAACTATAAGACTGATCCAAAGAAGTTAATAAAAAATATAAAGTTAATCAAAATAGTTATTACAGTTATCCAAATCCTAAGAAAGAAATAAAATAAAATAGTTGTTATAGTTATTCAAATACTAACAAATGGAACAAGTATAAAGTAATTATTACAGTTATCCAAACATGGTAAACATGTAAATCCTATTTCAAGGGTGATGACTTGCATACCATATAGTATTAGCAATATAATCGCGTACAATATCCATTGGTCGCGAGCGAGACTGTGACACATTAGGCTGAACATCAACTTCATCATCTCCAAAAATTTCATCTATCATTACCTCCACAGTCACATCATTAAATATTGGATCTACATGCGCCTCCTTACTTATAAAGTTATGAAGTGTGCAGCAAGTTAAAACAATAGCAACTTGAGCTTCAAACTTATATGGGGGCATTTGTTTCAAGATGGGGAATCTCATCTTAAGCATCCCAAAACAGCGTTCAATTATATTTTGTAATGACGAGTGCCTGTGATTATAAATTTCCTCTCTACCTTGGGGTTGCCGATGAGCTCTACGGTACTCTTGGAAGTGGTACCGTTGACCCCTGTAGGAAGCCAAGAAACCCAGTTGATTGGCATACCCAAAGTCCACCAAATAATATTTCCCTGCCATTTTACAAACTATAAGGCACATTTGGAAACTATGATATTTTAAATAAGTATTGCAAAATTATTAGATGAATGACATTTACCTTTTGGAGGCATTGGGAAATGCAAATCCTCATTATTAATTGTCTCGTTCAGCATCTTAGAATCATTAGCAAACCCCTCCCATCCTGCTACGACGTACGTGAACATCATATCAAAATCACAAACAGCCATTACATTTTGTGTGGTATCCCCCTTCCTACCACGAAATGGTATCTGCTGGTCCACAGGTACGTTCGCATGGACATGAGTTCCATCAATTACCCCAACGCAACCTTTAAAAAAAGGGTGATACTTTTTTAACTTCCTTATATGGTTAGGAACTTGGGTAAAATCTGGGGTGACAATAATCTGTTTCCCTAAATCACAAATTTTTTGTAAAACTGCATGGAAGTATTTTGAAATTGTATAGGTAGAGTGTTGAAATCTTTCTACGACTATACGATTCTTTTCATTATAAGCTAAAGTAAGCAAGAATATGCCAACTTGTTCATAAACACTTACACCTGTTGAGCCTTTCAACCCTAATGATATAAGCTCCCCACACAACTTCAAAAAAATAGGGGTGGACATCTTGAAAATTTCAAAACATCTACATTCATGTCCATGCAAGATCTCCATTATATATGCTTCCCCGATTAAAAGAGAATCTCTACAAGGTCGTTTCTCGTAATGTTTCTTATAATAGTCCAACATACATGCCATTATGATGACACACTCATTCTCCTCATCACCATCATCATACAAGTCAATTATTGTCCTAATATCTATCTGTATAATACAACATTTAACAAACATTAGTAATTACAATAATCTCAAGCAAGATACCAAATAAAAAATCAAAGCAAGACAACAACTAAAATCAAAACAAGCGAAATAGTTATATTGTCATTACAATGAAACCAAATAACATATCAACGAGTGTACTTAATATTACAATCACCCAAAGTCATAGCAAAAGATAATAAGAAATAAAAACAACGCACAAAAAGTCATAATACGTACTAGTACAGTCATCCAAAGTCATAATAAAACCAACATGCCAAGTCAAATTCCATTGATCCAACCAACCCTCTTTTCATCAAGAAGGTCATTAAGAAAGAAATCCATCCAAAGTTCATCATTACGTAACATCTGGGTGACCTTAGCATATTGTTTCATATCAACGCCCTCCAACTTATTCAAAATGTAACAACATAATTTTAAATCACCCTTTGTCTTATCCAGAGAATTGACTTCACCTGCCCAGCTTCATGAACTGTTTTCATATTAGATGATGAAGAAGCGACTATGGCCCTTTCAATTCGATCTGTTTTCTCTCTACAAGCCTCACTCATTTTCTCCATGACACCATCCATTGTGGAGGCAAAACTCTCTCTCCTTGGTTTCTTACCACGAGGGTCAGGAGAAGGAGTGAACTCATGACCGCCTAACTCAGCAAAATCATCATTAAGGTCAAATGAGGCATGTGTGCCTTCATGGTGTGCGGGGGCTTGGTTGAGAATGAGTGGACTGTAGAAAGTATGGACATGTGCACCTGTAGCGTGTGTGCCTCCAAATATGGTGGTGAGCTTATCAAAATGATTGCATGGCTTCTTTCGATACTTACCATATTGGGAATTCACCTACAAATTATTAAATTACTATTAATATTAAGTTAAGTATAATTTTTTGTAAAATCAACATACATTTATTTAAAAAACTAACCTTGATCAATTTAGTCCATCTTTCATTTTCAACTATAACCATGCCGTCTCAGCATTGTATCCTACGCCTGTTTCTCCTAACAAACTCATAAAGGCTCTGTAGTCTACCCTCATGTGGTTGAATTTGCTCTTAAGTTGTTTCGGTTCATAGTTCTTGTCTGTAGGACCGTCATGCCTTTCCGTATATTCTTCCAACTATTTGGAGTAAAAGTTATGTAATTCCGATTATCAGCTTGAACTTCTTCCTCCATACAGATGATGAAAGCTTCAAGATGAGAGTCATCCCATACTAGTTTTCCATCATCGGTATTGTCTGTAAGGTCCTCTATTTCGGAGTCCACCACATTGTCAGCATTGATATCCATCTAATTACATAGTTTTAATAAAAATGTGTTAAAAGGGTCATTAGCAACTTTAATATCCTCTTAAGAAAGTACAAATACATTTACTAAGTTGTCATAATAATATGACTCATCATGAGTTCTACAACTTCAGTATCAGTAGAAGTTTAATTTAACCATAATTGAATAAATATTGATTAGCACTCAATTTCATGGTCTTATTGGTGTACTCTATATTATAATACTATGAGGATGTTTTTTGCATTAACACTTATAAATTTTCAATTGAGGCCAACGAATACCCGTCTACTATAATTTTCAATTGAGGGCAATGAATACACTTATAAAAAATTCCACTATGTTCAATAACTGCTTCCATATTGAGTTTCTTACAACTGTAATCTCCTCTAAAGTCATTAAAACCTATTTCACTAGTGTTCCAAATTAAGAGTCACTTGAAAACCCTTATGCTTATGCGGCTTAATTTCAACACGAAAACCAGCAAATCAACAATGGCATCTTGCAGACAAAGTTTCTGTGTACAATAAGGGGGAAATGGTGGAGGAAAAAAAACAAAAAGGCATGAACTTTCAAACTATATATTCCGTGAGGATTTTACAATGTACACAACATTAGAGGATGGGTTAATTTATTTGGTACAACAATTAGTGTAATATATATTTGGAGTCCTTCAGTGAGAATGCTGAGAAACTAGACAGCAATAAAAATTATAGCTACCCCAATTAAGTACACTGTTAGGTCAAGGGAAGCACACAAACATGAAAATTCGACCAAAGCCAATAAACATATATCCATATACAAAAGAGAGTATCAACCAAAATCAAGCATCATTTTAAGTGTCTGTAATCCATGTATCCATATATATACATATGTGTGCCAGTGTGTGTGTATATACACACAAATATAAATATACGCTTACACACCTGTTTGACGAAATGCCAAGTGAGAGCTACTCTTCTAACTTCTAAAGATTTTTGAAGAAATCTAAAATAGCGAGATACTCACTTGGTATCGACGATGTGAATCCGAGAGTGCAGAGAGCAGCGGCGAGGTATGGGTTCGCCGGAAAGAGTAGAGCAGAGGTGAGACAGATAGTTTGGTCTTCAGATCTGCATATACAGTTCAGCGATTTGAAGCCCGATCTTCAAACAACTAGACTTTAATTTTATACACAGCACAACGAAATGTGATGAAGAAAAAGCAGAGGAACTCACCGGTGATAGTGCAGAGAGCAGAGGCGAGGTATGGGTTCACCGGAAAGAGCAGAGGTGAGACAGAGGGTTCCTCTCTTCAGATCTGCATACATAGCTCAGCGATTTGAAGCCTGATCTTCAAACAACTAGACTTTAATTTTATACACTGCACATAAAATTAATTCTCTGAACATCACACACTTCCAGGAAGGCAGTCCTTGCCACTACCTCCAAGCCGAAGGCTAATGGAACCATGAAGTCTATTGTTCCTTTCCAGCCAAATGTACCACAGACCTGCAGCAAAAAGACTTTGCAACTGTTTTGACTTGTTATATAAATTATCCATCCAATTGAAAAGGTCCCAAGCTGTTAACACATCTTGAAATTTAATGAGATCCCAACCAAGAATTCTACCCAACCATTTCCAGAAACCTTGAGAGAAAGGGCAGGTAATAAACACATGATCTGTAGTGTCCAAACTCTTCTGACAAAGAGTGCATCTAGAAACCAAACAGACTATTCTTCTCTGCAAATTACACATGATAGGAAGTCTATCCAATAACATTAACACAGCTATTGTAGACCATCTTGGCCGAGCCTTCCCCCAACACAATTTAAACCATGGTACCACAATATCAGTATGTCTAACACAATTTCAAGCATTCTTGAAATTGAAATTCCCACCATCCCAGAGCAATTTATCCTCTCCACCTTTAATTTCCACAGTCTGCAGAAATACCTGTACTGCTACCAAGTTATCACTTTGCAAATTGTGCAAACTCCAAGCTTCATTGAATATCAGTGAACTGATCGGAGCATCCCTTTGGAGATGCATACTTCTGACCACTCTATGGCCAAATAATGAGCTAAACATCTGCCCTTTACACCACGGATCCCTGAAGAGTTTTATGTGCTGGCCATCACCAATCTCAAAATGGACTTTCTGTTGCATCACTTCCCTAACAACAATCATTGATTTCCAGATAGAGGAGCTAGTCTGCGAGGCAGTAGCATTCCAAAAAGATGTATATTGAGCATGCCTGAACTTAAACCAAGAGATCCACAACGTATCTTTGTTGTTCAAGTAATCCCAAGCTAATACACAGCGAGCCGACACTTGAATATCAGACAACTTTCTAATTCCCAAACCACCTTCTGTTTTTGGTTTAGTAACACAATCCCAATTAAGAAGATGCTTCTTCTTCACATTATCTTTGTTTCCCCAAAGGAAATCCCTGCATTGTTTCTGAATTTGGTTGATAACCACCACTGGAATATCATAAATACTGCACCAATATTGAAAAATAGGAGTAATCACAGCTCGAATAAGCTCCAATTTACCTGACAGAGAGAGAAGTTTTGTGTTCCAGCAAAAAATCTTACTTGTAACCTTATCCAACAGATCCTTACATTATGATCTTTTTAAAACAGTTAGACACAAAGGATGCCCCAAGTATTTGATCGGAAAAACATCTTCAGCGCACTTCAAAACCTGCAACAGCAAATGCTTGCTTCTCACAACCTTAGAAAACAAAACTCTGCTATTTCCCTGATTGATTTGCAGACCAGTAACAGCTTCAAATCTTTTAAAAATACCCTCAAGAACAATAGCATTTTGAACTGAAGCCTCACGAGCTAGAATCAGATCATCTGCAAAAAATATATGGCTAATAGGCTTTTGAAACTTTAACATAGATTTCAACACCACCAGAGATTTGTTATGAACAGCATCAGCAACCAAAGTTGAGAATAATTCAGTAATCAAGGTAAAAAGTAAGGGTGAAAGAGGACAGCCTTGTCTCAACCCTCTCTCTGGGTGAAAAAATCCAGCTGGAGAACCATTAATCAAAATAGAGTATCTAGATGACTTAAAAATAGCTTCAATCCAACTGATCCAAGTATCCCCAAACCCATATTTCTTTAAAGCTGTCAACAAACCATCCCAAGAGACAGAATTATAAGCTTTCCTTATGTCTATCTTCAAAGCCATTGCTGCATTCTTGGGCTTGTTGAAATCTCTCACTAATTCATGGGCTAGTATTACTGCCTCTTGGATTTTCCTGCCCTGCACAAAAGCACTCTGCTCTTTTCCCACCAAACTTGGTAATGCCATAGCTAGCCTGTTTGCCATTAATTTCGTAACAATCTTATACACCAAGTTACAAAGGGCTATAGGCCTGAAATCCCCTAACTTTACAGCGTCTCCCACCTTTGGAATCAAAGTAATGAAAGAGCAATTAACCCCCAAAGGCATAATTTTAGACACAAAAAAGTGTTGAACAGCTGCAAACACATCTTTATCAATCATAGTCCAAAAAGTTTGATAGAACCTAGCAGGGAAACCATCAGGTCCTGGTGCCTTGTTTGGATTGAAACTCATCACCACCTCCTTTACTTCTTCATACGTAATAGGCCCTTCTAGCATAGCCTGATCAGTGCAATTCAGAGTATGTCGAGAAGTTATATCACACACCACATCAGAAGACTTATTTGAGAACAATTTTGTGTAATACTCCACAAACCAATCACTAATAACCTTTTGGTCAGTTGAGACCACCCCTTCCTCATTCCCAATTTTGAGTATAACATTGAAATTTCTATATTGTTTCAGCTTCTGGTGAAAATAGGAAGTACACCTATCATTATCCCTCAACCAAGTAAGTCTTGATTTCTGAGTTAGAAGGATTCTTGGTCTGCAAGAGTAGCATCATAATCTTCTTTGGCCTATTGTTCTTCATCAGATGGATTTTGCAGTAGCTTGTCCTGAACTGATTCTAGCTTCAAAGTAGACTTAAGGACTTTATCACCAACATCCCCAAAAATATTATTATTCCACCCTTTAATAGCTTTTTTCACATTCCTAAGTTTATTTAAGAGTCTATGCATTGGAGAGCCATCCACCTCAATATTCCAAGCTTGTTGAATCACTGGAAGCACTGCCTTCTTAACACACCACAATTTTAACATCTTAAAAGGTTTTGGTCCTGAGGCAAAAATGCTTGATACCAAAATTAACACACTATAATGGTCAGAGGATTTTGCCATTGTATAGGAGAATTTAGTGCCAGGAAATTTGTCCATCCAACCATCATTCAGGAAGACTCTATCCAGTTTCTATTTTCTTCAAAAATAAAATTATTATTTTATTATTTAAAATCATGATTTTGATTTTAAAGATGTGAAATAAAAACACAAAATAAAACAATTACCAAAAAACCTTGTGTAAAATTTTAGTGACAAATTTTAAAAATAAGGGAATGGAAAAAGAATAAGAAGCGACAAAAAAAATAATAAATTTTTTTTAAAAAATAAATTCAGTTACCCTATGTGTTTTCTTTATTTGTTGTTTTTCGATATGATCGGATCATATCAGAGTTCGTAGAGATCAACTACTCACCTATGAGTATCAGGTATTGTCTGTTAAACAAAAATACACACAAGCTCCCTTTCGAAAAGGAGGGTTTGTATTTGGTAGATGGAAAAAAATATTGTTAGGAGGAAAAAAACGTGAAAACTAATAAAATAAGAAGAAGATAAAAATTAATAAGAGAATATGAAAAAGTTTTATCTGTTGTTACAATTATTGATTAGATATATATTCAATAATTAATAAATAATATGATGATTGAGGAGATGAGAAGAAAAAAGGCAGATGAAGGATAGAAATTAGTAGTTTTAACGGAAGTGGAATGAAAAATTTAGAATGGCTTATTTTTTTTGAACTCAGGTATAATAATATAAGATAATAAAAATTTTAGGAAGTCTAATAATAAAAAAGAATTACGGAGTATAATTTTTAGAGCCGCTTGCAATTATTTATAAATTTTATTTTATTTTTGAAGAGAAATCGAATAAGAGGAAAGGGTAAGAAGCAAGAAAGAAAAAAAAAAAAAAATAGAAGGAATATTTTTGTAAATTATTACACATAAATTTTAAAAAATAAAGTTAATGGGCCAGAGTGGCCCATGTTTGAGCCGGTCCCTCCACTAACAACGGTTAAATTGGTACTTTATCAGCAAGCTTTTAATAGTTTTATTAGTGGGGCTTGGCGCTCCACTACTATGTAAGATGAGCTATCATTTTTTTATTTTTAAATAAATAAAATTACAAACGAGTCCTTAAATACAACATAATGTTTTATTCTTACAATTTTTGATACCATAATTGTCCTTCTCTATTAAGGTTAGAATTTTTTGTGCTAAAATGAAAATTCTTTCAACTTCTTTTTCACGTTTCCTCTGCCTCCTTTATATATCTGCCCAAATCTAATGGTGAATTTTATATTTTTGGTTAGAAAAATGATATAATTGACAACTATAAAAAAAACTCCGACTAAAATTTAACTCGAACACAATTTTTTCCATAATGTGACCATCTTAAAATCTTTCCAACTTGAGCACGATTCTTTTCATAACCACATTATCTTAAAATTTCATCTTATACATAATTTTTTCCATTTTTTTTAAGAAAAACAAACTCTTTCCATATATATATATATATATATTTTCATTTTCAAAAAATGGGTTTTCATATATCTGGAATCTATTGGAATGCTTCTTTGAGATTTCTATAAAAATTAATTTCTACAAAATATAAAACATAAATTTCATTTGAAGTTTTTAATATTAACAAAAATAATGATTGAAGAACCTAAATTCTTAGTTTATTGATTTGTTTGAGCTTTCTTTCATAGTTATTGTTTTGTCAAATCTTCTAATGTTACTTTCTTTTAGAGTTTTTTGTTTTTGTTTTTACTGTTTTAGTAAGTAAATAGTTATTTTTGTTAATTTATTTTTGGAGAGTTTTTGTTTTAGAATGCATCTTATTTATATTTTAGTTTTAAATTACCTACTTTTACTCTGCCACATTGAAGTATCATTTTTGTATTTATTGGGCTAAATAACACAACTCTTTTGATTATACTTTCTTCTTCGGAATGTATGAAAATATTATTTCTTTTTGCATAATCAATCTATCAAATATTTTTTTACCACTAGATTTTATCCATTGGGATGCTATGTCAAGGATAAAGAGGAGAAATAAATTGTTGTTAAATAGAAGTGAAAAAATTTAGGATTCAATATCATGACTTGAGAAAGTATCAATCATCACTTAGGATAGTCCTCACTTAGGATAATAAATTGTATGTGATGAGAATTGAAGGTATTTGAGTTGGAAACAAATCTATGGATAGTGTCACAACAAACACATAAATTTGAAAATGAAAGTTCAAGCTTAGCTTTAACGTCAAATTCTAAATTTTAGAAAAAAAGTTGATAAATTAAAATTATAAAAAAGGTAACAATAAGTTGTCAAATCCAAACTTAACTTTGATAAATTGAAATTATAAAAAAGGTAAAAATAAGTTGTCAAATTTTAATCAATTGGAAGAATCAATGAGGGTAATTACAATATTAAAAACATACCGAGTAAGAACGAAAAATGACGTAATGTAAAGACTATTTTGTAATTTCATTTTTGAAAAGAAAGAGGTAGATAGCCTTATTAGGCTATTAGTGGAGGGACGGACAATATTAATTCCCTTATTAATATTATATTGTTTATAATTTTTGAACTTTCAATGGCTTTGTGCATATGAAGTCCTGTAATTTACAGTTACAATTCTTCTATACGTAAATGTGTGTGTGTGTGTATATATATATATATATATATGCTGTTATCGTTTTGGCAAAAGACCATATTACTTATAAAGCCGAACTTTTTCTTTTTGGTCACTCAACAAATCAACAAGAATCCTAAATTATCGAAATAAACCCTACTATTATTACCTCCATTCTTTCCAAATCAGGATATGCACAGTTGTTTGACTATGTAGTTCGGACTGGTAGCTAAACAGATAATCATTGTTTTTCACCGTGAATTTAGAAAACCTCCATCGACAGATTTCTGAAGAAACAGGGGAAAAGAAAGGACTCATCGGTTTTTCTTTTGCTTTTCATATTTTTTGATCGAACCTATAGTCATTGGAGGGAAATTTGGATAATTTTTAATATGGGTTTTCGTCATGTTCTTGGAAATTGAAAACCCATCAACGGATCTCGGGATTCGAGACAGAAGTGTTGGAATTGAAGTGAATTTTGACGAGAAAGGCTGATATGGGAGATTTTCTTGGCGGGTTCGTGTTGCCTCTACTGCTTTTAACAGGTATGCAGAGAAATTATAAATCTGTTGAGATTTTCACCATCCTTATCTGAATTAGTGTAAATTAACTACTTATCAAAAAAAAAAAAAAAATAAAGGTGTAAATTAACTGCTGTTGTATGGAAATTTGATCTTTATCACATGTTTTAGCATTGCATTTGCAAAATGAGTGTGTCCTGTAATTGTATTTTTCCTTGGGATAAAGAAGAAATTGCTGCCTGCCCTTTTGATTCTGGAGCAATTTTTATGAGATTTAAAATAACAAACTATAAGTTGGATTAAGACTAATTTTGAAGTTGGGGAGAATGTTATTTACTGTTTGCGTATTCGAGCTCTTAACTTGAATATTGTAGAGTTCTTCCCTGAAGTACATTGAACATAGAATTGGTGTTCTCTGGGTGGTTAGTGTCTCAACATAGTCTGGTGTTCTCTGGTGGTTAGTGTCTGTGTTAGCAGTTAATTAGAGAGTATCTACTGGGACATACTCCTTTATGGCTTGTCTGAAAGAAATTTTGGCTAAAAGGTAGAACTTAGAAGTACTATCTGAAGGCCTAACTTCAGGCTGTAAAAACCTGGTTTAATAATTAGATTGACTTGGATTGAGAAGCTAACATGTTGGCCTTTTAGCTTTCTCCCCTAATACTTGTATTGTCAATTATTTTCCTGGAGGAAACCAAAGAGACAATAGTAATCCACCGAAGCGACAACAGTAATCCATGTAAGAAGCCATTCTAGAGGGATGATAGTGTTTGTAAAAGGTACATCTGTCTCTTTAATTGAGGTGGCTTTGGAAAGATGAGCACCTGACTAGCTTTGTTTGAAAAAAATAAGTTGTTAATTAATTTAAAAAAATGTACCACCAAGCCCTTGGCCTAGGTGGTATGACCTCCCCCTCGAAAGGGGAGGTCGAGGGTTCAAGTGCCAACTGGAAAAATGGGTGTATGTTTGCTTACTTACCAACCAAAAAGGAAAAAAGAAGAAAAAATGAGTTAGTTTTCCTACACTGTTGTTCAATTTGATGGGACTCTGTGACAAACTTGTTTAGGGATCTGATTGTTCATTTCATGTGTCATTTTTTTGGGTTATTATTAAACAAATTCCAAACTTTGTAGATTTAAAGAATCAAAGAAAAAATAACATTCTGTTAAATTCAATTTAGTTTCATGACTTATTTGATAAAGCTCATTTATGAATTTAATCCAAGCCCATCATCTGTGTATTTAAATTCAACACCACTGCTAATTTTTTATTGAAGAGATGCAAAATGGAGTAGTGTAGAATATATTCTGCTTGGGACAGATATAGAAATTTATGTGAGGGGGCAATAGTAGGGCTTTTTTGTAATTTAAGGAGAGGGGGAGCAACATTAAAATTTGATAGGTACGTAATTAAAAAAACATAAAAATATTTATGTATATAAAAAAAAAATTCAGTGGGGCAATTGCCCCCACTGACTGTTGAATAGATCCATCCCTGATCAAAATTCAATAAGGGCATTTTGTCTAAAATTGGCACTTTTTAGCTGTAATCCATGCATGTGGAACTATTTAGTTTTACTCGTATATATTTTTTTCTTAGTGGTTTGACTGATTCCAAAATTGGTTAACGGGTTTTTAGCAGGAAAACTTTTTCTGCAGAGTTTTGATATTCATTTACGTAGGAGTTAAAACTCAAAAAAAAAAAAAGATCTCGAGAATTCAGAAGATAGAAAACTGTTCTCAAACTCAAAGAAGTACAAAAGGTTGTTCTCTAAAAACAGTCATTTCTTCGACTGAGTTTTTAGAAAGTATCAACCAAACAAATTTTTGTACTGTTGTCTGATTTTCAATTATTTGAAAACAGAAAATTGGTCTTTAGAAAACTGAACCAAACAGGTCCATTATGTCATTCACTTTTACCTAAGGATGGCCAGTCAATATTTTTGTCTTAAATTCATAGGGACAAAAAATTACATTTTCAGTTCCCTTTTTTTTCAAGTACTAACATCAATGATTGTTAAAAAAAGTATGTAAATATGAAAGCTCATTTATACGCAGGGATCTGTCTCAATATTGTTATCCTTCTTGTTATTATACATTTCTCACATACAGCTGCAAAACAACTACCTTGTCAAAACCTCATTATGTTAGCTCTCTGGTATGAGCTATATCTATAAATTTATTTGTTACATCGAGTGGCCTATTTGCTTATTTCTTTTACAAATTCTATACAAAGGAAATGTGTTATGCACATATTTATAAATATATATTTATTTGTATAAGTATGTGAATGATCGTGCTTTGTAACGAAAAAGAAAAAAATGGTGTTGTGATTACTTGCTTCCCTTGTGATTCTTATGCATTTTTTATGAGATTTAAAGTGATGCATTGGATATATAAGACTGTTTTGGAAGTTGAGGAGAATGTTAGTTACCGTGTGCATATCTGAGCAATGAACTAGAATGTTGAGAGTTCTTCCCCAGAGTACTTTAACATAGTCTGGGTGTTCTCTAGGTGGATTTTAGTGTTTCTTTAAGCAGTTAATAGAGTATTCACCGGGAATATTCCTTTATGGCTTGTGTCAAGATCTTTTGGCTGAAAGGTAGAAGTACATTTGAAGACCTAGCTTCAAGCTGTAAAAACCTGGTTTAATAAATAGTTTAACTTGGATAATTAAATACTATGTAGGCCTTCTAGTTTTTTCCCCTCATACTAGTGTTGTCAATTCTGTTCCTTGAGGAAACCGAAGAGATAATAGTAATACATGTGAGAAGCCCTTCTAGTAACTTATGGCGTTCTAATGTTGGGGATGGTTAGTGTTTGTCAAAAGGTACATCAGTCTCTTTAATTAAGGCAGCTTTGGGAAGATGACAAAGAGGCAATTATGTTAATTAATTTAAAAAATGAATTAGTTTCCTGGGAGCATTGTACACGTTAATGGACTCTGACAAACTCTTTTAGGAATATGATTTACCAGTTGATGTGTTAATTTTAATTCCAAAACTTTGTAGATTTAAGGAACCAATTAATAACATTCTTTTAAATTCAATTAAATGTCATGCCTTATTTGATGAAGGTCATTTATGAATGAAGTCCAAAACCCATTGTCTGTCAGCTTTTATTCAACCCCGCTGCTAATTTCTGATTGAGTAGATGCAAAATTGACTATGGTATAGAATATATTTTGTCTAGGACAATGTGGATGTAACTTGTCTGGAGAACTATCCCTTCTATGACCACAACTCAATAAGGGCATTTTGTCTAAATAATGGTACTTCTGAGCAGTAATCCATGGATGTGAACTATTGAGACTAGGATAATTTTTTTTGGATAGTTTTGATTTTCATTTGTCCAGTATTATAGCAGTACCTTTTGGAACTTTTGATTGTCAGAAATCAATGTCAGCCACTTTTTCTGTGCATGTCAACATTGTTGTCTCAAATTCTTAGGGACACAAAACTACATAGACACTTCTCTCTCTCTCTCTCTCTCCAAGTAGTAATGTCAGTGATTGTTAAATGTAAATAGGAAGCTCATTTGTGCGCAGAGATTTGTCTCAAAACTGTTACTTTCTTGATATTATACAGCTCTCACATATAGCCGCAGAACAGCTACCTTGTCAAAACTTCATTATGTTTAGTTTCAGTATGAGCTATGTCTATAAATTTCTTTTTTACATCTAGCGCTCTCTTCACCAATGTCCTTTAGAGTTTAGACATTTGATACAAAATCAATGCAATATAGATATATATTTAAATATTTAGTTACATTTTTATCATTCTTTTTAACTGGAATAATAATTGTTTTTACCTCTTCCACCCTTCCTTCTTGCAGCTGCTTTACTGAACTGGAGTTTGATATCTCTTGTTGATTTGGTAGCTTTTCTTCTCATTAGATTCACAGCACCAAAAAGAGGTAAGCTTCTTATGCACACCCACCTTTTCTGGTTCGGTCTTTATCATTATTACATTTCCCCTACTTTTAAATATACTTGCATAAGTTCAGAAGAATATCTGCATCTTTTACTCTTATTGAACTTAGGGTTTCTAGAATAAGAAAACACAGCTATTGGAAATTTTGTGAGTAAGAGTGCTTCCCTTCTCCTCTCACGTATGTGTATATATATACAATTGCTATTACAATGAAATGACCATATTTCCCTTTAGTAAAATACCTAATATTCTAACACTCCCCCTTAAGCTGGTGAGTATATATTATATAGTCCCAGCTTGGAACAAATAAACCTCAACCTATTATGACTCAAAGCCTTAGTAAACATATCAGCGAGTTGATCTTCAGATTTCACAAATGGGGTTGAGATATTCCCACTCAATATCTTATCTCGAATAAAATGACAGTCAACTTCAATGTGCTTGGTTCTCTCAAGAAACACTGGATTGGATGCAATATGAAGATTTGCTTGGTTATCACAAAATAACGGAAGAGGAGTTTTGACTGTTAAGCCAAGTTCCTCAAGGAAATGTTGTAACCATGTTAACTCACTAGAAGTATGGGCCATTGCCCTATACTCAGCTTCAGCACTATATCGTGCTATGACTGTCTGCTTCTTACTTTTCCATGTAACTAGATTACCTCCTACGAAAGTACAATAACCTGTAGTGGATCTCCTAACTGAGGGAGAACCAGCCCAATCAACACCTGTAAAACCTTCCACTCTAAGGTGTCCATTTGATCTATACAACAACCCAAGACGCGGAGCTTGCTTGAGATATCGAATAATCCAAAGAACAACACTCCAATGTGATACCCTGGGAGCTGCCATGAATTGACTCACATCACTGACAACATATGAGATATCTGGCCAAGTAATAGTAGGATAGATTAACTTCCCAACCAGTCGACGGTATCTACCAAGATCATCAAATAGATCTCCATCATCAAATACAAGTTTATGATTCTGATTCATAGGAGCATCAACCAGACGACCACCTAATAAACCTGTTTCCTCCAACAAGTCTAGAACATATTTCCTCTGAGACACACTAATACCTTGCTTAGATCGAGGAACTTCAATTCCTAAGAAATATCTTAGTGTGCCTAAGTCTTTAGTATGGAACCATTGTTGCAAAAATTGTTTTAGTTTGGCAATACCCTCTGCGTCATTCCTAGTGATAACAATGTTATCCACGTATACAACAAGAAATATAAAACCTGCCTTAGTACGCTGATGAAATACTGAGTGACTTGTCTGGCATCGGTGAAGCCCAAACTTTAATGCCGCCTCAGAGAATTTGCCAAACCACGCTCTTGGTGATTGTTCCAAACCATACAAAGCCATCTTTAAACGACAAACACTATGACGATACTCCCCCTGAGCAACTAACCTAGGTGGTTGCTCCATATAGACCACTTCAACTAAGTCACCATGTAGCACAACATTTTTAACATCTAACTGAAATAGAGGCCAATTAAGATTAGCAACTAGCGAAATAAAAACACGAACAGATGAAATCTTAGCAACCGGAGCAAACGTCTCATCATAATCAACTCCATATGTTTGTGTATAACCTCTGGCAACCAGACACGCTTTTAAGCGCTCAACAAGACCATCCGAAAGATAATTCACTGTAAACATCCACCGACAACCAACAGGTTTAACATTAGGGGGCAAAGGAACAAGATCCCACGTTTCATTGTGCTGTAAGGTATCAATTTCCTCCTTCATAGCTTTCCTCCAGCCCGAATTAGACAGAGTAGCCTGCACAGTCTTAGGAACAAATATAGAAGACAATCGAGATGAAAAGCACGAGAAAGATGGCGATAAAGAATTATAGGAGACATAATTGGAAACGGGATGTTGAGTAACACAAGATCGAGTACCTTTAGGAAGTGCAATAGGCAAAGAGTCAGACATAGCAGGTATGGGATCCAAAGATTTTGAAGAAGATGGTTGAGGCATGGCGGCAGGTGTCTTCAATCTCTGTTTGTAAACCTTTAATGGAGTAGTAGACGAAGGAGGAATCGGAAGAGGAATATCAGGTACAAACAGCTCACAAGTGATATCAAGAGGATAAGTAGGATCGGAAAAATATGGAGTAGACTCGCAAAAGGTGACATCAGCACTAATAAAGTATCGTTGATAAGTAGGACTATAGCAACGATAACCTTTTCGGAAGCGAGAGTAACCAAGAAAGACACACTTTGTGGCACGTGGATTAAGTTTATCGAAACCAGGACCAAGATTTTGGGCGTAACAGACACATCCGAAAACTCTAGGAGGCACAGAAAATGAAGGAGAATTAGGAAATAAAACAGAATGGGGAGATTTACCATGCAACACGGAGGACGGCATACGATTAATGAGATGGCATGCAGTAAGAACATCATCACTCCAAAAAACGTTTAGGAACACGCATCTGAAACAGAAGAGCACGAGTCACTTCCAATACATAGCGATTTTTATGCTCTACGACACCATTTTGTTGAGGAGTGTAAGCTCATGATGTCTGATGGATTATACCTTTATTACTAAGATATGCATCAAAGGGACCTGATAGATATTCTTTAGCATTATCAGAGCTTAAAATCCGAATAGAGCTACCAAATTGAGTTTTGATTTCTTTTCGAAATGTTTGAAAAATTGAAAATAACGCAGAGCGATCTTTCATTAAGAACAACCAAGTCAAGCGAGAATAATCATCCACAAATGTCACAAAATAATGAAATTTATTGATTGAAAAATGCTTTATTGAACCCCATACATCTGAATGAACTGAATGAACTAAATGAAAGGACTAGAGACACGATTATCAACCCTAGACTTGAACGGCACACGATGGTGTTTACTAAGTTGACAAGCTTCACATGACGACGACTGCAAATAACCAAGACTAGGAACTTGATGCTGCAAAACTGAAAGTGATGGGTGTCCAAGACGACAATGCCACTGGAATGGAGACAGAGAAGACTGCTGTAACAGAAGACTCAAAATTGAAATAATATAGGCTACCAGCTTCATGCCCCATACCAATCTTCTTCTTCGTCTTGAGATCCTGAAAAATACAGCAATTAGGATAAAATGTAACTGAACACTGGAGTGATTTAGTAAGCTTGCTATTAGAGATCAAGCTAAAGGGAAATTGAGGGACATATAAAACACATGAAAGAGACAAGGAAAAACTTAGTGGAGTGGTCCCCAAACCTGAAACCATAGTAGATGAACCATTAGCAAGTCAGATAAAAGATGAGAACATCCAGTCATATGATCAGATGCTCCTGAATCAATGACCCAAGGATTATGACTGGAGGACAATAGACACGTAGGTGCAGTAGGTGCAATACCTGACTGGGCAAAATTAACCTTGGACGATGGAACAGAAGCCCTCTGTTGAGACAAAAGCTGAGCATACTCATCACGTGGAACACTAATCATATCTGGCGCGGTAACTGGGTGAGAACCAGAAGATGGAGCAGATGAAGCAGGAACATCCTCCTTAGAAGACCCTTGATTTGCATAGCTGGATGGTGGTCTACCATGGAGATCCCAACAATAATTCACAGTATGATTAGTCACGCCATAATGAGTACGCTGTTGTGATTCTCTACCACGTCCTCCCTGTGAATCACGGCCACCACGGGCAGAGTGCCCCCCACGACCACCAAGAGAAACATTGGGCCCACTCTGTGAGACTGTTAAAGCAGACCGTTCACCACGCTGATCACTACTCATCTTTGATATACCACTAGACAGTGTGGCTTGCTATAGCCGGGAAAAAACTTCAGCAAGAGAAGGAAGTGTTGGACTGCCCAAAATTTGGACATGAACAGGCTCATATGTGGATGACAAACCAGTAAGAAATTGAACAACATTTTGGTCCTGGCATTGTTGCTGCATTTTTTGAACATCAGCTGTGATAGGCTGGTACATATTCAACTCCTCACAAACACCCATGACTTTCGAATAATAAGCTTCTAAACTCTGGTTTCCCTGTTCAAGACTGAAGTACTCCTTACACAACTCATATACATGAGTAACATTACCTGCCCCAGTATATAATTGCTGCAACTGCTCCCATATTTCCTTGGCAGTATCTAAGTAAAGCAATCTGGAACTGATTTGGGGTTCAATACTAGATAACATCAACGAGATGATCTGAGCATTCTCTTTTTCCCATGCACTGAAGGAAGAATCAGATTCTTTCGGTTTATCTCCAACCAAATGGTTGCCAAGACCCTTGCCCTTAAGAAAGATGGCAACAGATTTGGCCCATAAAATATAGTTCTTACCATTAAGCTTAATGGAAGTCATGGGAGAATTGAAGGAAGCAGTAGAGAAGAAAATAAATCTACATTGGATGCCATACCGTATTAAGCCAAGGGAATGAGAGCTGAATAGCTTGGACTTGAACTGGTGCCAGGAAAGAAAAAGAAAACTTTCAAAGAGGGGCTGCTGCAACAGATCAAAACGTGTCTGAAAAAAAAAACACAGTTCTTCCACTTGGGTTGGCCCAATTACATCGCAACTTGAACGATGGTGACGACGGGCTGTGATGATGATGATGTTGGCAATAACGACGACTACCAGTGATGATTGTGACAACAATTCGATTCACGACACAAAGACTTTCAATCTTAGCCGCTAGCGGGATCAATCACATCTCTGCTTTGATACCATATTGAATTTAGGGTTTCCAGAATAAGAAAACACAGCTATTGGGAATTTTGTGAGCAAGAGTACTTCCCTTCTCCTCTCACGTATGTGTATATGTATACAGTTGCTATTACAATGAAATGACCATATTGACCTTTAGTAAAATACCTAATATTCTAACAACTCTCATCCTCTTGATTAATGCTGAATTTTGAAGAGAAGTTCTATCTGAGTTCTCCATGTCATACTTTCCCCAGGTATTTGGTGTGTTATCATGTATTTGGTGGATCCATGTTCATTATTGATTGTATGCCTATTCTTGTAGAAAGAAAAAGAAAAATATGCAGTTTATGGCTGGACATGGGGGATCTCTTTCTCTACAAATATTTCCCTATTAGACTATATTCAGTTGTTATCTTACTGGTTAATTTTTCCCAGTAATAGGATCTCTCTTTAATAAGGCATAGGAATTATACAGCACAAAATTATTCGTATGGTAATTGAGAATGAATAGTTGCCATATCACTGGGCGATATCATGACAAGGAGGTGATCTAATAATATATTGAATTTTTATTGGACGTGGATGTGGTGGTCATATCGTGGTACATGTACTTCGACTGGAGGCATGAACTCATTCCTTACATCGTCTGATCTTGTATTATGCTCCCATAGACTTTTGTTTTTGCTGATTCCAATGTTGTTGTTTTCTTTATTTATTCATTTATGGAAAGTAAAGGTTTTTATCTTAAGTTGATATGGTTTTAGATATTCCTTTCTAACTTTTTTGATATTAGTAATAAAGTGTTCCATTCTATCCTTCTACTTACTGGATAATTATCCACTTAAGCTATAAATGTTGTTAAATGTTATTCACTAATAATGCATCAACAATATACTCCTACTTAGTTCTCGGAGATTAGTGACTTCAGAAATTGCAAACTAATGCCTTATAGTAGAGAAGTAATTGTTTGAAAACTGAAGTCTATCATATATATTCATGAGCTTCTTCTTATTCTTGGATGAAGTTTAGCAAGTTTGCTTGAATTTCTTTTGCTACGCACTGTCAAGTTTTTTGTTTGAACTTTGAGAGCTCAGATTTATATAACTTATTATATTTGGTAGGCCAGAAAGAAAATTATAACAAAAATTGAAATATAGCACAAAGCACAAGAGGAAATATCCTCCTCATAGAAAAACAGCACATAGAAACAACTCAAAAAATACTAGTTCCCAAAGCAGGTTTTACGTATTCCCCAACTTAAATCCATTCTAGGCCTGTTAAAGGTTCTTTATCCTTTCATAGCACTCATCTCCAAATCTAGTTTTTCACTGCAGCATCCTATGGGCCTGTTTGGCAACCGCTTCTGCTTCGTGTGTTTTGCTTTGGACAGTTAGCGAAGCAAAAGAACGAAGCGTATTTGGTAACATTTGCTGCGATTTGAATAATACCGAAGTGCTTTCGAAAAAGAGGTCAAAACCTGAAGCACCAAATTGGTGTTTCTGGTTGCTTCTGCACTGCAGTGATGAACAGTACCAAAAAATAAATAATAATAAAAAAATACCTCTAAAAAAAACACACTAAAAAACTTTTTTAACTAGCCATTTTATTTTCAAATTTGCAACACTTTTTTACCAAACATGTTTTTGCTTCTAAAAATCTTGCCACAAATATACTTTATCAAACATGCTTCCGAATAGTATTGAACACAATCCAAAGCAGAAATATTGCTTCTGCTTCGGGTCAAAGCAAAAGTACAAAGCAACTGTGGTTCTCAAGCAGGCCTTATAGATTTGGCAAAAGTTCTGTAATGGCTATGTTTGTAATGATTTCCCTAATTTTTGAATAACTCCAATTAGCATTTTTTTTTTTTTTTTTTCTTCTTCTCTCTTAATTGTGTTATATATATTTGTTTCTGTAGGATTTCGGTTCCGAGGGAGATTTCATTTACTGTGGTCCATTGTTATATTTTCACTGCTTGTTGTTCTCTCGCAAGTGATATTTCTTATCATATGGGCAACCGAGGGTGGTAAATGGAGTGTAGCAGATGCTTGGTGGGCAAAGCTAATTGGATTCATGAAGTAAGAGTTGATTTTCAGTTTTATCTCATTCTTTTATTTATATATCATTTATGTTTACATTGTACTTTGTCTCTTGTAGATATCAATGTGGTATTCTTTTTGTAGGGTTGACTCCTGGAGATCTCCATTGGTAGTTTATTTATTGATCGTACAACTATTAGCAGCTTTTGTTGCTGTAGCTGTAATTTATGGTAACCAATTGGGTTTGGTTCCGTGGCGAGATTCATGTTGGGGACGCTTCTCATCAGTTGTTGCACACATAGGTTTGCGACTGGTTGATTGCGGCTTTAATTCTTATGAAATTGTTTATTTATCCTTATTTGCAGATTCATTATATAATTTTACAATAATTGACATCTTTTTGACAATCAATTAAACAATTGTGATGCACAATGTCTTAAATAAGAATTAAATAAACTTGAAGCAACCTGATTTGGTTTGCATCAAATCCTATGGAAGGGGGAGGCGGTGAGATTTCATGGACATTCCCGGGAGGGATAATATGCTTATGAAGTGCTTTAGTGTGAGACGTAGAGTGATAAATTGCTGTAGTCTCTGAAACAGAGCTATATGGTTGACTAGGATGATTTGAGAAGGAGAAATCAGGTAGTGGTCAATCGGTGCTACATGTGTCTTAGGGACGAGGAGACAGTGGACCATCTTCTTTTGCATTGCTCCATGGCCAAGGATTGTTGGGATTTGATGCTTGGCTTGTTTGGGGTCCAGTGGGTCATGCCTCATTCCGCCAGAGAGCTGGTTGAGGCTTGGAGAGGGTGTTTTGTGGGGGGCCAAGTTCGTGATGCTTGGAGGGCTACTCCTCTCTGTGTGTGGTGGTGTATTTGGTTTGAGAGGAATATGAGATATTTTGAGGGGAAGGAGAGGCCTATCTCTTTTCTTAAGTTCTCTATTGTTTCCACTCTTTTTTTGTTGGGTCTCAGGTAGAGATTATAGATCTTTAGATGATATTGTTGTTTTTTTGGCCTCTTTGAAAGTGTAATGGCTGTTTTGGCCTGTTTTTGTTCCCTTGGGATGCACTCCCCTTTTGAGCACTTTTTATAAAATTCTTACTTATCAAAAAAAAAAAAAAAAATGGTTGACTAGGATGAGGAGTTATTGATGTAGGGGGATTCCAAGGTTAAAGGGGTGTTAGTTGGGGAGAAACGGCTGTTGTTGCCTGTATCCGTCAATTAGGTATAGAGGATTTCTGGTCAACTTGGACTATATGGGGCTTTATGAAGTGGATTCCCCTTTTACGTGACATGAATTTGTTTTCCTTGAGCCATGTCAGGGGCCATTGTATGAACAATGCATTATTGGCTGGTAAGTAAATATCATAGTGATTGATAATGAGCTGCTTTGATTAAAGTATGAAGTAGCTTGAATTAGGCATGTATGTGTGCTACCTACTTCTAATATGGCCATCGTAGGATCACTTGAAGTAAGTAGATTATGACGATTATAAATGGTAGGGCATGTCTGGATCACTGGAAGGGAATAAAATACAACGATATTAATTGTTTTGTTTTCCCGACCAAGAGGAAAGTTGTGTTGTTTCCCAGTCAAGTGGTTTCGCCAGGATAAATAAATACCAGACTTATAGTTTTGTGGAATTGAGTGTGTGTATGCATGCAATTAAAATAAAAAATAAAAAATGTACAGCTATGAGCAAGGGGAGGCATAGCAAATTGGATAACTTTTATTTTTTTGATTAGTAAAATTGTATTAGAAAGCAATTGGATAACCTTCATGGCACATTCATGGAATGAAGGGAGTTTATTACTAAACCTGGTGTAGATCTTATAAATAGCATTATCAGTACAAAGATCATACCTAAACCTACATTTCTCAGGCACACGAAGGTTTTACCACTGCATCAGTACCAAGTAATGGCCCTTGCACTTAAATCAAAGTCAAAGGGATATATTGTTATAAGAAGTTTAAAGTATCCTTAACCAAGTTGTTTTGCTCACTGTCAGAAAGTTAAAAGTGAATCTTCAATGCCAAAAAAAAGGAAAGAAATATATAATAAATAATAATAATATTATTTCTGTCCCAAAATAAGTGTCCACCATGATATATTTAGTTGTCCCAAAATAATTGTCCCAATTCAAAAGTCAATGTACTATATTTTACAACATTCCCAACCCTTCTTGCTTTGAAATTATAAAAACAATTAAATAAAACATCATCACATCACTGTGGACCCACCATGGGTAGATTTGGTAATTCATTCACTACCAATGCAATACAAAATTATTAAAAGCCACATCTTAAAAAGTTAGATTCCCAAAGAGGGACACTTAAAATGGGATGGAGGGAGAAGATCCTTTGAAGGAGAGGAATCTTCCATTATTGTTCTAAAATCTTCTATTATTAGCTCTCTTTTTTTGGGGTTCGGGTAGACTTTGTTACTCTATTGAGGAGACTGTTGAGTTTTTGGCTTCCCTGGGCCTTAGGGTACCCAGGTTTTTTTGGTCTTGTAGGGACATGTTCCCCTTTTGAACGCTTTTAATGAAATGCTTATTTATCAAAAAAAAAAAAAAAAAGGGATGGAGGGAGTAATAAACAAAGAAAGAGTGAAAAGAAAAAGAAAACCGTTGGGTCGAAGGCTTGGCACAGTTAAAAATAGATCTTCTAAGACACCATGACATAAAGGGAGTCAAACATGCTGATTATAAAATAAAAAAGATTTCATGCAAAATGTAAAAAAATGTTGCTTTGACCAATTTGAGCCAAGGCATTTGGAACCTTTAAGTTCAAATTGAGGGAATCATGTGACAGTTCATGCGTTGTTTTATGTGTGGATTGATAATTTCAGTTATAGAACTTAACACAAATATTTAAGCTGTGGTCATAAGTTTTTAGGCCTAGATTTTGATTTAATGGGAATTCTTTTAACATCTGTAATGTTGTGGCCCGAATTTTGTTTCAGCTTGGGCACGTTTTGACCCAATGAATGAATTTTTGACCTGTTTTCCTCTTGAGGGTCGTGGACCCTGCTTAGTACTCTGTTGTAGCCCGGTATATAAGGCCATTTAGGGTTTGGAGTGGGATAACCAGAGAAGACTGAAAATTGCTAGAAAGAGAGTGGGAGCTGGGGTTTGTGGGCTGGTACTTGTAAACTCCCGATTTTCACTGGATCTTCATCATGGACGTAGGCTTTGCCGAACCACGTAAATTTTTGTGTGGCGTGTTTACTTTTCTTTCATGATTTTTGTTTTGTTTTTGGTTCGCTGTGTTTGTCATAACAATATCAAATACTGAAGCATCTAATTGTAGTAATTGTAAGGCTTCTTTTCTAGTTAGTAAGGTTTAAGAGATGTTAAAGTTGTTATTCCTTTTTCTTGAAGGGTTTCCATGGTCTTTAACTATAATTAAGAGCCAAGTACGGATCTGTGTCATTCTTCCTTTTTGGATAAGTTTTTGCCCTAAAAATTCTTAAAGCGTGGTGAGCTCTTGAAGTATGGTACGGTTAATCCCTACTAATCTATTTAAAGGAACAAAATTTAATGGAATGGTTATAATTCTAACTGTGCCTTGTGATATAAAATTTTAGGGAGTAAAGAAACAACAGCCCATAGATTGTATCTAGCGGACATGAGGGTGGTTGGATGGATGAGGGATAAGAGACAAATGGATAAGATTGGAAATATATCATTTTGAGGAGATGAAGAGACCAATAAAAACCTATAAATATGTATTATAGACCTACATATATTATACGAGAAAGGAGTTATGTGGTTCAAGTAGAGAATTTTGCAGTGTTTTTACAATCTTTAGTCCAAGCAGTTTGCCATCTGATATGTGTTACTCTATTTCTCCTGGAACAATGAGTTTGGGAACCCCAAAATATCTTCTTATTTCTTTCATTACTTTTTCTTAAGGCAGTAAAAATAATTAACTAAAACTTACCAGGATATAAAGTTCCAGGGTGAAACAAGATAGCGACCATAACACCTCTAGAACAAATACGTGTTTTTATGTAGTTGATCATATCAATCCTGTTGCCAAAAATGAATAGAAGCTTGTGCGTTTTAAAAAATTGAACATGTCATGTCTTAACTTTAAACTTTTATTGAATGAAAAGAAAACCAATTTAGCAATTTAAGCTACTATATGGCATTTTAGTCCGACTAAGTGTCTACATGTACCACGTTGATCCATGTTCTTGGTAACATCAGCCTGTTGCAAGCATGCAGGGTAGATCGACAAGGATGTCAGTTAAGGTTGTGAAAAATGCATCATAGCTGTAATTTAGTCTAGATATGGCATTAGATGGTGGGGATAACCTCATGGGGAAGTGAATAGGGCAAGACAATGGCTCAAGAAAGCAACGTGTGAGGTTCGACTCTTCTTGGACTCAATTGATGCATGTTGGTAATTACATGCATTTCTTGGGATCAGTCTCGATTCTAAATGGGTCGGTGGCATTTCGTCTGTAGCTGACATGTAATTGAAGGGAAAAGCAAGACGATGGAGATTTTAGGCTAGATAGCGTAGATAATCTTTCATGAGGGACAATATTTAGGGAACCTTTTTTCGTTATATTTTCATTAGCAAGAATCATTTGTATACACTCGTATTAATGTAATAAAAATGATGGGTGAGACTTTCTTCTGTAAAAAATGAATATAAAAACAAAATTAGCAGAAGATAGGAAAGACAGTGAATGACACCGTATAAACTTCATTTCTAACTTAGCTATAGCATGTCTGGAATATCCTTCCATTCCCCTTTACCCATTAGCTTTGGCAGACCATTGTGGGATTGAAGCTCCTAGGTTTAAGAGCATGCTAAATCTAACTGCTATTACCCCAGTTTGTCCTGTACTTTGTCTTGCCAGAATTTGTACCTAGTTGTAGGCAAGGTATTTTACAAATATTTGTATTGAAAGAACTCTTTTCCATTCAGGAAGAAGAGTAATAAAGAATGCTCTTTCTTGTCCTTGTTTAATATATTGGTGTGGAGGGCACAATTATTAAGAAGGGGTTTCATTTGGAGTTTGAAAAGAAAGAAGAGAACAAACTGGTAGTTAAATGGTCAAGTTCAAACTATGCTGATTGACAAATCATAGGTAATGATGGGCTTTGGGAAAATCTCAGCAATAAATATTGTAAGAACTCAACCATATGCTGGCAGTTACTCTTCTTGTATATTATTTCAGGCTTGGCATTATGATTCTGAGAATCGATTCATCTCTTATGTGGAGGGTGTTTAGGATGGCATGATGTAAATTTCTAGAGATCTTTTAGTTTGGACCAATTTAATGGTTTAAGATCCATTTAGGTATGTCTTGTATAAGGGATGCGTTCCCCTCTTGTACACCTTTTTATTCAACTATTACTTATCAAAAAACAAAAAAAAAAAAAGATCCATTTAGGTATGTCCAAGGATGTCACAGCTGGATACTGCTTTTGACTCAAATGAAGTGAGGTTGCCTGGAGCACTATCTTCTGTAGAAAGTTTAGGACTCCCTAAGTAGAGGGTGTCCATTGTTTCCTTGTAATGGTTCAGATGCCACATATTTGCTGTCAAATTGGATTGCTTATGCCAAAGTTCTTGTATGGTTCTCTGTTAAAGTGTGCTGATTTTGTAGAGAGATGCTGCATTTAGGATGCCACTTTCCCTATTTTCAATGATGTGGGAAAATAGTGCTATGTAAGACCATAGTAGCTGTTTTGTCAACTTCACATGAAAACACGGAAAAGAGTTGCTGAGAGGAGGCATGACATAATGAGAAGCACTTGGGCTTTCCGAATGATAGCATGAAGAGATCTTTAAAATCATAGACTGGCCTTTATTATATTTTCTCGATTGTGGTTCTCTCCCTCCTCCCCTTCCCTTTTTGGTGTATCAGTAGCCGACTCCTAAAATACTTTGTTGATTTGAGTTGTGAGTCCCTTGAGGAGGCTATAGATAGATATAAATGGGGTAGACTAATAATGAATCCAGAGAAGTCCGCAATTAATGTGTATATTTTCTTGTTTAGCTTTCATCTCTCTAGTTCAATGCCTTTCTCTCTTTGTTCAAAATCCTCTTTTCAATCCTTTACATTTATCATCTGCATAATAGAAGAATCAGTTGTTGCAAATACAGAATGATTCCAAATCCAGATACTCAAGGATACTATTTTTTTTAGGAAAGTAAAATTTGGAGTTCTCAAATGACTACAAGTGTAACACACACGCATGATATAACCTAGTTTTGTACCGTTGTCAATTATATGATTGCATCTGCAAGGAATTGGCAACCCATTGTGCAAAAGCTTCGGTCTAGTGCATCAATAGAAATATTAGGGTGTTAGAGAAGTTAGTTAGTAACAAAGTCCTTGGATATTGTATGATATTGAGGACTTGAGGATTATAACATTGGCATCACTGAAAATCTTAGTCACTAATGCTCAACTGAGTTGGCACATTGTAACTCCTTATATGCCTGTGCCTACTATGAGTCCTGAACACATTACTAGTTACTCAATTAAAAACTTTCATTTTTGAATATCATATCATAAGTTAACAGGGATAAATATTTGTCTTGTGGAAGGTTATCAAATCAGGGTTGCTTCCTGTTTGCTGTTGCCCGCTGTTCAACTTGTTGAGGGAATTAGCAACCCCTCTTGGGTTTCTCTACCATTTTTTATTTGTAGCTGTGTTGGCCTGGTAGATTGGTCTTTGACAAGCAATTTTCTTGGTCTTTTCAGGTATTTTTTTTTTTTTTTTAATTTTATTTTTTATCTTTGCTGCAATTAGTTTTCATCCCTTTTCAGTTTTTAAATTTCTGTTAATTTGCTGCTAGAGCCCCTTCATAAAGATTTTGTTTGTATATATGATTTTGAAGGTGGTGGAGGCCTCTTTGGCTCTATGCAGGCTTCAACATATCCCTTCTTTATGTGTATCAGCTCCCTATTGGGTTACCGGAGATGCCTCGAAGTATTGCTCAATTCATTGGTCTTTACAAAATATCTGCAAAATCTGTGTGGCCAGAAATTTGTTCTGGTCTTTCTCTTATTGTGTTCTACTTCATGGTATGTATATGTTTATTCAACTTCTATACCTTTGTTCTAGATAAGGTCAGAGTTATTTGGAGAAATGCAAACAATTGTTCCATTTCTTTAGTAATGAAGTTTTGCGCATCCACTGTGTCTGAGCTTACATTATTTGATAACAATCTTCTTTTTGGTTTTAGTTGCCCACTCAATCTATGAAGTTGCAATACCAAACAGAAAGGTCTTTATCTATTTTGTCCATTCATGAATGCCATTGTTACTTAGTAGTTGTAATAAAATGTCTCAAGAGTTTCCTTTCATAAACTAGGGTTTGGATGGGAATGGGGCAATGTTGTAACTTTCAGGAGCCATGAGAATTGTTGCGAGAAACACCGTGTACCAAGAATGAATCAAGAAACACAGCAGAAAAGTAATCACGCCAAAACACAAAGATTTACGTGGTTTGGCGCATGCCTACTCCACGGTGAAGATCCGACAAAAGATTTCATTATGTGAAAAATAAGATATTACAAGTTTTAGCTCCCAAACCCTAGATCTCTCTCTCACTCTCTTTCGTGCGATTTTTCAGTGTTCTCTTGTTATCCCACTCTAAACCCTAAATGCCCTTATATACTGGGCTAGAGAGTACTAAACAGGGTCCAAGGCCTACAACAAACTTTTTTCGGGGTTGAAACTTGGTGGGCTTGGACCCACACCAAGCCCATTTTCCAGGTTTTGCAACCCGCACCAAAACAAAATTCGGGCCACAACATCACAAATCTCCACCTTGGCTCGAATTCTGCTAAACTCATTAGTACCAGCTACTCTTCTCACCACCTTCACATGTTCCTAAGGGCCTCGGCAACTGCAAACACCAATTAAGTCCGAATAATGTTTGAACTTGATGGTAGGAATGACCTTAGTCATCATATCCATTGGATTCTCTGCTGTCCCAATCTTCTTCACTGCAATAGCACCTTGTGCAATCACATTTATGATGAAGTGCAACCTGAAATCAATGTGCTTGGTCCTCTCACGGAATTTCTGTTTTTTAGTCAAATTAATGGCACTCTAGCTGTTGCAAAACACATTCAAATCATATTACTGCAAGCCCAAATTACCAACCAAGCATATCAGTCATCTAGCTTTCTTCACTGCCTCTCTGGTTGCCATGTACCTTGCCTCAGTCATAGACGATGCTGCAAAGTTTCCTTCTAACTTATCACACTCCCAAAAAGAGTGGGGACATACCCTGTCAAGGACTTCCTCCTATCAAGATATCTAGTATAATCCAAATCAACATACCCAACAACACTCCCGCACGTGTTGCTGCCTCTGTCATAGACAACCAATTTCTGCAGTGCCTTGCAAGTACCGCAAAATCCATTTCACAACCTGCCAATGTACTGTCCCAGGTCTATCCATGTATCTGCTCACTCCTCTAACCGCATGTGAAATGTCTGGCCTAGTGCACATCATAGCATACATGATGTTACCAACTGCACTAGCATAAGGAACAAAAGAAGGAGAAATAACTATTTACAAATTGGCAAAGAATAGAGAGAGGTTGACAAGAGACATGGATCAAGTTAGTGTATTAAGGCTATAGATCTAACAATACTAATCAAAGATAAAGATATATTAGAAAGATGAAAAAATTACTTTCAACAATTACTAAATGAGGAATATGCTAGAGAAGAAGTTGTAAGTAACGAACCTTACATAGGCATGATAAATGAAATTCATAATACGGAAGTAGGGAGCACACTGAAGAAAATGGGAAATAATAAGGCTGTAGTACCAGATAACATACCTATACAGGCTTGGAAAATTTTAGGAAATATAGCATTGAATGGTCAACAAAGTTGTTTAGCAATTTTATTTTATTTATTTATTTTTTTGATAAGTAAAGTTATTTAGCAAAATTTTAAGAGAAGAAAGGATGCCAATTGAGCGGAGGAAAAGTACTAGTACCAATCTATAAGAATAAAGGTGATATACAAAATTGTGGAAATTATAGAGGAATTAAATTAATGAGTCACACAATGAAATTATGGGAAGGAATAATAGGCAAAGACTAAGGAAAGAAACATGAATATTCGATCCAATTCGGATTTATGCCGGGTAGATCCACTATAGAAACCATATACTTGATAAGACAAATAATAGGAGAGTATAGGAACAAACAAAAAGACTTGCACGTGGTTTTCATAGACTTAGAGAAGGCATATGATAGAATGCCAAAGGACATAATTTGGTGGGTTCTACAAAGAAAACAAGTACCTATAAAACTTATAAATCTTATTCAAGACGTGCGATATTGTGGCCAAAATTTGGTAACACGACCCGCTTATGACTCGACGACCCGTTGGATGAGCTTTGTTTGACCTGTTTTTTTGCTCTTGGGTTGTGGACCTTAATTTGTCTCTTGTAGCCCAATATATAAGGGCGCTTAGGGTTTGAAGTGGTGTAAGAGAGAAACTTTGAAATTCGTACAGAAACAAAGTGAGGGGTTGAAAACTTGTAATCTCCGATTTTACACATAGTGAAAACTTTCGCCAGATCCCAATCGTGGATGTAGGCTGTTGCCGAACCACGTATAAATCTTTATGTTCTTTTTGTGGCGTGTTTAATTTTCTGTCGTGATTCTTGGTTCAACTTGGATTTGTTGCGCTTGTCATAACAACATATATAGTGAGACATTAACTAGAGTTAATACCACATGCGGGGGAAACTAGTGACTTTTTTTTTTCCTAGTTGGTAGTTGGTACCCCCTTCCAAGGAATTGCTTGCACCCAAGAGGAATCCAACTTTAGACTTAATGCATCTTGAGGCACTAGGGCCAAGTGACTTGCTATAACGGGTGGACGCTTGCCCATTTACCCAAAAGCTTAAGTTGTTGGGTAGTGCTGCATACCCACCCATTTATACCCACTGGCCACCTTGCTTACACAGGTTGGCTCACCCGGATGCCTTCCAGGTGGGGCGCTTAGCGTGACACCGGATCAAGGACTGGATCTGACTTTGATACCAACTGTAACGGGTGGGCGCTTTCCCATTTACCTAAAAGTTTAAGCTGTTGGGTAGTGCTACATACCTATTCATTTATACCAAATCACTTTCCCATCCGGATCCGATGTGGGACAAATGACCCTTGTTGCACTTGTCCACTTGAACCAACCCCTTGGGGTTGAAACTAATGACTTCCCTATAAAGGTGGGACTACACCAAGGTTTGGTGTTGAGTCCATACCTATTTGCGATAATATTAGATAAAATAAGGAAAGATATTCAAGAAAACACTCCAAGGTGTATGTTATTTGCTGATGACATAGTACTAATAGATACCTTCTAAGGAAACCTTAGCAACAAAATTATAAACATGGAGAAAAACATTAGAGTCTAGGAACCTAAGAATTGGTAAAACTAAAACGGAATATATGGTATGTTAATTTGATAAATTAGAAAACGAGGACAATATAAATATCATACTTCAAGACCAAATAATCACTCAAAAGAACTATTTCCGTTACCTAGGAATAATACTACAAAAAGATGGGGAGATAGATGGTGATGTAGTAAGTCAGATTGGAGCCGGGTGGCCAAAATGGAGGCAAGCTAGTGGTATCCTTTTTGACAAACGAATATTTAAAAACTGAAAGGAAAATTTTATAGAACAATTATTAAGCCGGCAATGTTGTATGGGGCAGAGTATTGGGCGTTGAGAAAGGCACAAATACAACGCATCCATGTAGCGGAAATGAGGATGTTATGTTGGATAATAGGAATCACAAGAAGAGATAAGATAAATAACGAGCGTGTGAGGGGAACACTTGGTATAATGCCTATTGATCAAATTATGGAAAGTAGACTTAGGTAGTATTGTCATATTCAACGCGGACTCAATGATGCACCTATAAAACGATGAAGACTTGTTTGTGCAAAAGGTAAGCAACAAAGAGGCCAACCAAAACTCATGTGGGATGAAGTAATTACAATGACTTGAAAACTTTAAATTTAAGAGAGGATATGGTATATACAGGAAAGAGTGAAAAAAAAAAAAATAATTCTAGTGGCCAACCCATCTCTATGGGATAAAGGCAAGGATGATGATGATGATGATTGTATCACTTTAAAATGAGTGAAAAAAGTTAATTAGCTTTACAAGACCTTTTCACCCCCTCTCTAGGTCTAGATCAGTGGACCTTGCGTGATTCTCCATAATAACCTTAGGTTTCGGTGCTACGAACTTTCAGTTGTTATTAAATGGTGTAGGTCAACTTTTACCCGATTAACCTTGAAATTGATCAAGATAAGTGGTCTTATATGGAATGCATATGGAGACCGGCTCTTTGATACAGATAAGATTGGCATAATGCATTGAATTTGAAACCTGGCCATTTTACAGGGCCCGAACTACTTGGGCTGTTGGGCAGAAGGCTACAGGAAAGTAGTTGTTGATTGCACTCTCTTATAGCGTTTGATTTTCTTCAAAGAAGCCCTTCTACTTTGATCCAACATGTGCTAAAGTGCCTAGATAAATGGATCTTGGGACTGCTGCCCTGTCCACATACTTTAAAGCCAGTGCCTGGCTATCCATACCAACAACCTTTCCTATGGGATTGTTACCTCTAAGTCTCTCCTGTTTAATTAATTTGTTGTGGGATGATGCTATTGTGGTTTCTTAGCTGTGGCTTTATGGTGTGCATTTGGTTTTAGACCCCTATGAACTGAGAAAACTAGATTTTTATGAGGTCACTTTATTTTTTTTATTTTTATTTTTTTTCTGGTCCTTTGCTTTATATGATACTGCATAACAAATTTGCAGGAACCGAATTTCAAAAATTTGAATTCATATTTTTAATTTGCTTCAGCTAGGGTTACTAGGCTTTGAGATCCTCTCTCTCTCTCTCTCTCTATATGCATATATATATATCCCTGCCCCTTTATCTGGTAGTTATTTTGGCAACCAACTTCACCTTAAGTATTTTTCTTTGAGTTTACATGGATGATATTGTGAATTTATGGATTTGGGTATTCCCTATTTTCTTTTGATGCAAACTATAGATAATTTGTGACTAAACCCATTATCACATGTTCAAGTGCTAACTGATGATACTCTGTTCGTGTCCATTCTGTATTTTAAGTTTCCTTGTTTTTAAGGATGACTTCTTCTTCTTCAAATTTATTTATTTATTTTTTAGTGACCAAAAAAGAAATGTTATTTCTTTTCTATAATGGTTGTTTGCTTAGGTTTTACTAATGATTATGTACAGGTATCATGCGTCAAATGCGATTTAGAGGAAATGGATTTTATTATGTCCACAAGAGATGGCAGCTTGACCGAGCATCTTCTTCCCTTAAAACATTCTTTTTTTATTCGAGAATCGAGGTAATTAACACCTACATTTAGTGATTTGGTTTATATTATGCCATTTCTTTGAATTGTTTTTCCTTGAGAAACTGAACAATCTTTCAATTCCATCACTTCCAAATTTTAAATCCATATGAAATTTATTTTTGTATCTTTTGGTTGAGATGAAGATGAACTCTGGTCTCTTGTTTCCACTTCTATCTTAGGAATCATATTATTCTATTTTCCCAGTTTTTATTGTCTGTTGAGATGAAGACGAAGAATGGTTTCTGGTTTCCATTTTCTTGAACTTCTGGAATCAGGCCATTAAGAAGCTTGTGTTAAATTGATTGAAATTTATGCTTCTCTTTGATGTTATTTTGATGCAAGTTGGTTTACTAATAAAAAGGGAAAATAAAAAAAGCCCTTCCAAATCTCTTATTGATTATAATCTTGTGAACAAGATGCTATATGGGTAATGAAGAGGATTTTAAAAATTAAATGGGAAAAGGAAGTAACGAAAATCTTCCCACCTGTTTGGAATTGTACTCCGTATACTTAATATTCCTTTTCCTCGTTTTGAAGTCTCCTTTTATTTATTTTTATTTTTTTATGCTGAGCATATATGTTTCATGTAGTAAGCATTTGTGCCAAACTCTCCACCACCAAATGTGGTTTATTGAATGGAAGGAAAAAGTGAAATTACCTGATAACATACAAAGTCTAATTCCAAGTAGAACAAGGAGTAACAATTTTAAAATTATAAATAATAGAAAAACTAAAACATCAAAAAAAGTACGGTTGTTTAAGTTTAATCCAGTCTAGAGCCTGTTGAAAGTCCAAACTAGTTAAAACATGTCATCAACAGAAATCATATTTAGGGTACTTTTCAAAAAAAAAAAAAAAAAAACACGATACAGTTTGGATGTATAATTAGCTTTGTCCTTCACTAAGTAGCACATTCACGTACAAGGGGCACATAGACAACAATATATTATTTATGCGCACAAATATGCGCGCACATACATATTATAGAAGACATCTATGTATAAAATTTATTGTTGCATATTGTTGAGAGAGAGAGAGAGAGAGAGAGAATATATGAATACTTATATATTATTGAGTGAATAATACAATAATATAATGGTGTTTATATAGGAGAAGCTGCGGGAGTAGGTGAGTGGAGAACAAATAAACCCTATACATGGTAATTATATATATGGTAATGAGGGGTAGGTGAAGGCGGCTATAGAATACGAAACCCCTGTGGAATCTAACTGTACACGTGTGATAACTCATACAATACTGTACAACACTCCCCCTCAAGCTGGAGTGTAAATGTCAATAACTCCCAGCTTGCTACATATGGAATCAATAGAGTTCTTGAGAAGTGCCTTAGTGAAGATGTCTACTAGCTGTCTGCCAGAAGGAACAAAAGGTGTAACAATCTCATTCGAGTCAACTTTAGATCGAATGAAATGACAATCTACTTCAATGTGTTTAGTCCTCTCCTGGTAGACTGGATTGCTAGCAATATGAATAGCTGCCTGATTGTCACAATGGAGAGGAATTGGTTACTAGACTGAAATGCCAAGTTCCTGTAAAAGAGTTTTCAACCAAGTAGGTTCACAGGCAGACGATACTCTGCTTCAGCACTAGAACGAGCCAAAACTGACTGTTTCTTACTTCTCCAAGTTACTAGATTTCCTCCTATGAAGGTGCAGTAACCCGTGGTGGACCGTCGATCAGAAGGAGAACCGGCCCAATCTACATCTGTGTATCCCTCAATCCGAAGATGTCTAGAAGATCGATAAAACAGACTACATCCGGAGTACCCTTGAGATACTTCAAGATGCGTACAACTGCTTCCATATGAGGTACCCGAGGACTGGTCATGAATTGGCTCACAACATTGAATGCATAGGAGATGTCTGTGTGATATTGTGGCCCGAATTTGGTGCCGGGTTGCAATGACCTGACGACTCGTTGGATGAGCTTTGGTTGGGGGAAATTTTTGACCTGTTTTTTGCTCACGGGTCGTGGACCCTAATTATTCTCTTGTAGCCCGATATATAAAGGTGCTTAGGGTTTGGAGTGGAGGAAGAGAGAGGCTCTGAAATTCGTATAGAAACAGAATGAGGGGCTGAAAACTTGTAATCTCCGATTTTACACATAGTGTTGTAAAGCATAAAACAGAAGTGAAGAGAGAAATGAAACACGAAGAACACAATGATATTACGTGGTTCAGCCACTAGGGCCTACATCCACGACACAAAGAGCCCAAAGGGTTACATCACTTTATAATATATTCTCTCTTAATCTTTGTATACAATGATCACCTCTATTTATAGGTGAAAGAATAAAGATGATAAATATGGAAAATACATTAATGGAATATTCCTAAAATCAATACCATAAATCACTCCAATCAATATTCTATCATAGGTTAAAATCTCTCCTATGATATTCTCATATCAAATATTATGTCAAGGAGTAATTTAAGGGTTCCTATAATAATATTTTCCAAATATAACATCTTTTAACACTCCCCTTCAAGCTGAAGGGTGTATGGAAATAACGCTCAGCTTGCATATCAAATCATGAAACAGATTATTTTCCAACGATTTGGAAAAAGACAATAAAACTGCTAGAGACATGGTGAATGCGAAGAACGCTACCGAACACATCGGTAGCCCAAATAAGTCCACATAGCACCGAGCACATGGCAAAGGTTACGAACAATGCTACCGAACACACCGACAGCCCAAATAAGTCACAAATAGAACTGAGAAACCCTTAGCAACATTTTAGATACTAAGGGAATGCCCCAAAATAGGGGTCCGAACCTAGGAAGAGAAATTAGGTTCTGATACCATGTTGTAAAGCATAAAACAGAAGTGAAAAGAGAATTAAAACACGAAGAACACAAGGATATTACGTGGTTCAGCCACAAGGGCCTCCATCCACGACATAAAGAGCCACAAGGGCCTACATCCATGGCACAAAGAGCCCAAATGGCTACATCACTTTCTAATATATTTTCTCTTAATCTTTGTATACAATGATCACCTCTATTTATAGGTGATAAATATGGAAAATACATTAATGGAAGATTCCTAAAGTCAATGCCATAAATCACTCCAATCAATATTCTTTCATAGGCTACAATCTCTCCTATTATATTCTCATATCAAATATTCTGTCAAGAAGTAATTTAAGGGTTCCTATAATAATATTTTCCAAATATAACATCTTCTAACACATAGTGAAAACTTTCGCTGGATCTTAAATGTGGACGTAGGCTGTTGTTGAACCAGGTATAAATCTTTGTGTTCTTTGTGTGGCGTGTTTACTTTTCTGTCGTGATTTTTGATTCAACTTGGATTTGTTGCGTTTGTTATAACAGTCTAAATGAGTGATTGTGAGGTAAATAAGTTTACCTACAAGTCTCCGATACATCTTTGGATCATCGAGTGGTTCACCATCATCCACCTTAAGTTTTACATTAGTCTCAATGGGTGTAGCCACAGGTTTCAAACCAAGATATCTAGCATCTTGTAAGAGATCCAAAGTATACTTCCTGTAAGAAAGACTAATGTCTTGCTTCGACCGAGCCACCTCAATTCCTAAAAAATACCGAAGTTTGCCCAAATCCTTAGTAAGGAAGCTAGAACTCAATTGATGGATTAGAACCCGTATCCCATCACTGTCACTATCGGTGATAACGGTATTATTTACATACACCACAAGAATCACAATACCACATTTCGTTTTTTAAAAAAGAGAGAGGGATCAACATGGCTTCTGGTCATACCATGAGCTACCACTGCTTTACTGAACTTAGCAAATCATGCACGAGGGGACTCTTTGAGGCCATAGATAGACTTCTTGAGATGACACACACACTCCTCCCTTTTTTTTTGATACGTAAAACTGTATTAGAAAGCGTTCAAAAGGGGAACACGTCCCAAGAGCTATACAAATATCGAAACCAAAAAGGGAGTCCTATGGACCCAAAGAACCCAAAAAAATCCACAATATCATCTAAAGATAGACATTTTCTCCCCATCACCCAACTAAAAAGAGAACAAATAATAATAGAGGATTCCTCCTCATCAAAAGATCTTTTATTCCGCTCTTTCCAGAGATTCCACCAAACACAAAAGGGGGTAGCCCTCCAAGAGTCACAAGCATGAACCTCCATCCTGTAGCCCCTCCACATGTCAATCAAATCCCTTAAAATTAGGGGTATAACCCATTGGACGCCAAACAGACCAAAAATAAGACTACAACAGTCATGAACCACGGGACAATGCAAAAGAAGGTGATCCACAGACTCTTCATCGTTCTTACATAGACAACACCAGTTGATTATGATTTGTCTTCTCTTTCTCAAATTGTCTAGAGTCAAAATCTTGCCTCAACCTGCAATCTAAACAAAAAAGGCCACGCTAAGAGGAGCTTTCAAATGCCAAACCGTTTTCCACGGGAAATTGGAACCGTGAAACCTGGAGAGACAAAGAAAAAAGGAACGGATCTGAAAAGTCCCCTGCGGAGAAGGCACCTAACTCAAGGAATCCGAACCAGTACCATCCACCTCCTGTCTATACAAAAGGTCCAGCAAGCTAGTCATAACTCCCAATCTTGAAAGGGGAATTGCTCATCCCAAGATAGCTTACTGCTATCAAGTTGATAACAGTCAGCTACCAAAGCATGTCTATCAACAACAATCTTGAACAACCTTAGAAACAAACAAGAGAATAGGCGATCCTCGCACCAAGTATCCTCCCAAAACCGGACGTCCCTTCCCTCCCGACTGAATCTAATATGTTTAGAGAACTCATTCCATCCCTTCTGAATGGATTTCCACACCCCCATGCCGACAACAGATCTGACTAGCCCAGATGACCATCCCCCACTCTCCTCCCCAAAGCGACATGAAATAACCTTTCTCCATAACTTATGCCTTTCGTTACCGAATCTCCATAACCACTTGCTTAGGAGTGCCCTGTTGAAGGTGGCCAAACTCCTAATCCCAA